ACCCAGTCATTTTCACACCTATCAGGAATTTTGTCACCAGAGCGGCTCCTCTGTGTCTCAAACTAACAAAGACCCTAACGAACCCCTGTTGTGAGGAGTGATAGGACAATCTGCATATGTATCTAGATCAGCTTTATAACTCGAACACCTCTCTGTTCTTTGAATTGAGAAAGCTCCTCGGATGAGAAGCGAAACGTTTTCAGTTACAAAATAAAAGTCCAGTTGTTTTTTTTTGTCTTGAACTTTGAATTTATCATGTCCTGGATGACTAAGAATCTTCACCGACGTCTTACATAATAATAAATAGAGGGAAGACATGTCCTAAAGTGTTAAAGTAGAAATGTTGTAGACTTTTAACATGACGAAAGCCAAAATACAAGATGGAAACGCCTCAGTAGGACCAGTGAGCTTTATATTTATGATAAACAGCTTTTTAATTTTCTGCATGTTTTGATCGTTGCTCGTAGAAACAACATCACAAATGTTCCTGGGATCCTATGAAAGTAAATGAAGTTACTTTTATTATCAAACTTTGTTCTCTTTTCACTCTAATGAGATTTTAACTTTAATTTTACAGATAATAACTAAAAAAATAAGAAGTTTTTTTTTTGAATACAGAGTTTTGTTAACATTTCCTCATGGGGGTCTAAATGTTAATAAAAACGGATGCTCCCTGAAGTCATTCAGTTCCTTTTAAATACATAAAAGGCTTCAAAGCAGACCTTTCTCCTACTCTGGACTGGGTTTCAGATTCACTTCCTCTGCGATAAAAAGAAAAAACAGTTATCTGAATGCGTACAAAGATCCTTTCTTTAAATGTATTTTTCATCATGTAGATGTGAAACAGCCAGCGGTAACTATCAACAGAGCTGAGACGAATATAAACCTCTGGGATGCTGGACGTCATCTCACGCTCTTCCTGACCAAATAAAGCTTTGGTCTCATCTTCGATCACATACGAAACAAACTCGCATGAAGAAGAATGCATTCGCTCACACAGAGGCACGCGCTCATCCTGAAATGTAAACGCACTGTGGATACGGAGTGTGTTTGAGTATGTTAAAGTCTGCTTCCCCTTTCTTCTGGCTCATAAAGTTGTTTTGTCTCCACAGGAAACACTAATCTCTTCCTGCGTTGCCAGGTCACTCATACAATTTGCTCTTTGACTCATTTTTTGACCCCAGGCGGTTTGTTTTTTGTCATGGGAGTGACATGATGGTCAGAGTTTCAGTCAGAGAATCGATCTGGGTAAAGTGTTACATTCAGGAGCTGGTTTATGAGGTGTTCACGTTCCTAAAAAAAAAAAAAATCACATTTAGTGTTGTGCTGGCTTTAGTTAACCACACAGGAGAGCAGACAGGAGGTCCCAGCCCCCACAGCCCTTTATAAACTCATACCTAACAAGAACAATCTGTGTGCACAGGCCAAAGAGCTCTGTTGAGGAAAAGAAGGGGGAGGAGAACAGTCGGTGGAGAAAGAGGCAGAAGGAGGGTCTTAGGTTAAATGACATCTCTGTACTATCCAAACTTCCAGACTGAAACCTGAAACTGCAGAGGTGCTGCAGTCCCTCAAACCATCTCACTGTTTTGAGTCTCCCTCCATCTGCGAGGATTTCAGCTGAGGTACTTCTGCAGTGAACGGTGAGTAAAATGTGTATTCTTGCTTTGAATGTCCTACATACTTAAATATCCGCAAGGCCGCACCCTAACCTACACAATAGTTAAAAATGAAGGTACTTGATAGTGTTGTCATGCCTTTAAGTGGGATCCAAACTTTCAAAAGTGCAGACATCAACCAGATTTAAAAATATATATGATTTTTCTTTCTTGTTTGCAACATCAATACAAAAATGTTAACGCTTCAAAACTACTTTCTTTTGTTTCCAGTTGTTGATCTTTTGTGCGCATGCTTTGTGTCTGATTTCCCAGATGTGTGTGGCAGTGTGTGTATTTGGTTTGAGGGGTGATTCATGTAAAAAATGTGCTTTTTTCCACTTGGGGAGCTGAGTTTCATGTGGTGGCCAGCTTGCACACAGATGCAGCAGAATGGGGATTAAAATGTGGGAGCTGCTGCCAGATAGTCTGAGCTGAGAGGTTCAAGCCAATAAATACAGCTGGATTTAAAGGGTTAGTTCACCCAATTTCTTTTTTAAATAAATTATCAATTTATCAATGAACCTGAGCATTCACAGCTCAGATAATTTAAGATTGCAGTTACTTTTTCATGCAGACACTATTATCACAATGCTGCATAAATGCATTCATTTATTCAACCTTTATTTATACAGGTTAATCCCATTGAGCCTCATTTACAAGAGAGACCTGATTTTAACAAAGAGTGATGACAACAGTAGACAATCATAAAAGAAAAGCATATAAATTAAGAACAAATGAAAGAAAAATGCAAAAATAAATGCAAATGTATTTATAAATGCAAATAAATGCAAAAACATAGTTGTAATTATTTACTTTTACTATATCAGAAGTTTTGTACTTCACTCCTAATTTTAAAGAATGACTAAATTTTCTCAAATCTTGAAAACTTTTGTAAAATTTACATTAAAACAGAATGTTTTGCTTTATATTTTGGTACAACTTTACACAGGTGGTTACACAGGTGGGCATTTTATTTTTTAAATAAAGACTCATTTTCATTTTAATGTCAACTGTATATTTTTAGAAATCTGATTGGGGCAAGAATAGAATAAACCTGTGAAATTCTGAGTAGAAAGCAGGATATATTTTGTAAACTATATTGGTTAAACAAAAAGAAAAATGGAAAAAGGTTAAAAAATAAGAATCCACAAGGAGAAATTAGGTGCATCTATAGGGCTGTAATGTCTGTAACAATCTGCACATGCAAATTAAATTACAAGTGTTGGATTTATAATTTAGGGTGTGTACAATTATGTTTAAAAACAATTCACAGAAACTGAAGATATCTGTGCGACTAATATCAGATGATCAGATCCTGAAAGCACACGAGTAACTTGCACATCTTTGAAGTCGGTGATCAATATTATTTCTATACAGCAATATATCATTTATATATTTAATTATAAACACTAAGATCTGCAATAAAAATAGAAATCTCAGTTTCAGACATTTTAATCAAGTCAAAATGATTTGCAAACGATTTTTGTCTGTTCCCGTCTTATTTAATTGAAAAACATACCCTTGAACAATATCCTAGAAACAATACAAACTTGTTTTAACTGGGCATGAGCCAGTTCTCTGAAACATAAAAGAAGTTCAGACAAATGTTGTTAAAACTAAAAAAATCTGTAAAATCGCTTTCTCATGCAAGCGTCGGCTGATTTCTGATTTCCCAAAATTAAGGAAATCTGGGCTGATAAATTGGCCGGCCAATTTATCGGTGCACCCCTATTTATTTGTTTATTTTTACATAATTTGGGCTTCCAGCTCATGCAACCCACAAAAACAGAAATAAAAAAAAAATAGAATAATGTGGAGCCCAAATGTTGCAGGGCATGAATGTTTTAAACTGAGTGTGACACTAATCATCTACTAAACTCAAAGAACCTGCACAGGCTTCCCCAGGTTTCCTTAAGTTGCTTCAGTTTGGTTCAATTGTCTCAGTTCGGTTCAATATGTGGAAGACTGCAGACATAACAACTGGCCAGAAGACCATCATTGATACTCTCCATAGGATGGGGAAGCCACAAAAGTTCATATCTAAGGAGGCTGGCTGTTCATAGAGTGCTGTGTCCAAGCACATCAATGGAAAGTCTAGTGGAAGGGCAAAATGTGGCAGGAGAAGATGCACCAGCAAAAGAGATGACCGTGGGCTTCAGTGGATTATTAAATAGAGAAGATTCCAGAATCTGGCAGAGATCCAGAAAGAGTGGAATGAGGCGGGAGTCACAGCTTCAAAAACCACCACATTCAGACACATCCGGGAGATGGACTACAACTTTCGGGTTCCTCGGTCCTCTTTTCCGATGAAAGTAAAGTGTGCCTTTCATTAGGAAATCAAGGTCCAAGGGTTTGGAGGAAGAAGGGTGAGGAACAGAACCCATACTGCTTGAGGTCCAGTGTGAAATATCTACAGTCGGTCATGATTTGTGGTGCAATGTCCGGTGCAGGTGTTGGTTAAATCTGCTTTCTTGAATCCAAAGTCACCGCAACAATCTACCAGAATGTTTTAGAGGACTTCATGATTCCTTCTGCTGAGGATCTGTATGGAGATGCTGATTTCATCTTCCATCAGGACCTGGCCCATGCCCATGTCACCAGAAGCACCAAAACCTGGTTTGATGTCCATGCCACAGTGCTTGACTGGCCAGCCAACTCGCCGGACCTAAACCCCATTGAGAATCTATGGAGTATTCTCAAGAGGAGAATGAGGGGCACCAGACCCAACAACAAAGAAGAGCTGACAGCAAGCATCAAGGAAATCTGGGCTTCCATAACTCCCAGTCAACGCCACAGGCTGATTGTTTCAATGCCACGTCGCATCGAGGCAGTAATTAAGGCAAAGGGATTCACAACCAAGTATTGAAGATTGACATATCGTTTTGAAAGTACTGTATTTTGATTGATTTGTTGTGATCCTAATTTTATTTTTTTTTTCTGCAAAAACTGAGAAGTAGTGTGGGCTGATGTCTTCACAGTTTTCTAATTTTTTGAAATCCTGTTTTCGTGGGTTTCACGAGCTGGAAGCCCAACTTATGTAAAAATAAATAAATAAATACTTGAAATTGTTTAAATTGTGGGCCCTGAATCTATCATCTATTAAAGATTAACTTTTTGAATGGAAATATGGAAGTCAAACAACTTTTCCATGATATTCTAATTTTTTGGAAAGGGTCTGTATACAACTGTAACTGTCGCCAAAATCTAGTTTTGGTTCAGACAGGCTGGAAAAAAGTCCTTCAAATGACATTCTTTTGACATTAATTTCTTAGGAGTTGTTGGAAAAACTTCACATCTGGTTTATTCATTGTTAGAAAAACAGATGCTGTTTGACTCGAGTGTAACATCATGTTTTCTCATATGGATTTTACTGTTTTTTCAGATCCAGAGGAAACGATGCACCCAGCAGGCCTTCATCACGTCAGTCTGTGTGTGTTTTACATCAGCAGGAGCTTGGCCACGCCTCTACCTTTTTACACTTCTCTGGAGGGAAGTACAGATGAGGAAGAGCTTGGTTACATACGTTTCTCTGCGTCCACCACAGTAATCCCCACGAAGTACCAAACGTCATCGGCCAACCCATCACAAGATGGAGCAGACGTTCAAAAAGAGTTCGTGAACTACCTGGAGGAGAACATGCTCCTCATCCTGGTTGCAACCTCTCTCAGCTTTCTCGCCTTTCTCGTGACCTGTGGGGCCCTTTTCATGAGCCGCAAGCGCAAAGTCAACTCCTACTACCCTTCCTCCTTCCCGTCAAAGATGTACGTGGACCACCGAGACAAAACTGGTGGCACCAAACCGTTCGACGAAGTGCAAGAAAAAGCTGCTCCTGAACAGGAATGTGAGCCAGTGGACTCTCACAGGCAGCTCCAGGCTGAAATCCTGAGAGCTGCCAGTAGCCTGCGCACGCCAAATAAAAAGGTTCACGCTGCAGAGAAAAGTGAGCCCTGTCAGAAAGCAGATCACAGTCCTGAGGTCAGCTCGAAAACTGAAGGTAGCATCCTGGATCAGCAGCTACCAAGTCTGCCTGAGGAGGAGCAGCAGTGCGAGATTCCTGACAGCAGAGCAGCAGAAGCAGGAAGCTCTCAACTGGATCCTCCAGAGCAGCCTTTTAAGGAGAAGGATTCACAGGAACCTTCAACCGGCAGGAGTCTGAGACCGTCCTCGCTGCACATTCACAACGACACAGCTACACTTCAGCTCATCGCCGGAGAGAAAACCGCCTTCTGAAAATGTCGAACTGCAGGTTTAATGAAGCAAATGAAGAAAAAGCTCAAACCAGAGGTGGTTTGAGCCAATGCAGAAGTGGTTGGAATAAATTCAAAAAATATTATACATGTACCATAGACACCTAGAATAAAAAAAGTCCTAAATGTATTGTTCATAAAGGGCTTCTGAAAACTGCCTCATCCAATTTAACACGGGTTGTACCGGTACTTCTATTGATGCACAATAGGGAGTTTTTGATGACTGTGCTTTATCTATGCAAGCTGAGTTTAAAAACATTATGTAATTCATCTACATGACCAACTTGGATATTTAAAGTGTCAATGAGTCACAGCTGTGGTTTTCACATGAAAACGGTTTTAAAATATATATTTTTTTATTATGCTTGAGGAAAAAAATGGACTTAAAAGTATAATGAGTCACAATATTTTTATTGCAGGCTTTCAATAAAGAGTTTGTAAATCACATCTAAAACCACTGGACCCCCCCGCCTCCACTTTTTTGTTGTTTCAAACCCATTCAATCTATTTCAGTCAGTGCGTTTTTGTGGAGCAAACAGGAAACAACTTTTAGCAAAATATAATAAAGCCCGAGTTAAACTTTTCAAAATTAACCACTCTTCCAGAATAAAATTCTCAAATAAAACATGATCTCCAAAAATAAGTTTCAGCTTTGTACCAACAGTCCAAGTGGTGCGTAAATTGTGCGTTTACGTGACAGGCTATATACAGTATACAGAGTTAGAGGACCAGACTAATACAGAAAACCTGGTGTAACACTGCTACTGAGGGTTGACAACAGTGCATTAGTCATAGTACTGCTGGAAAGTTAGACAGAGATGATGGAGTACATCTACTTCTCTTCATGGTAACAGGAAGCAGACGACATCCGGCTCAAAGAGTGTGCTCAGTTTAATTGCTAGCCCCGACTGCCTCCTGATGGTTGTCGTGTTGCTTGAGACGGTAGTCTGCCAGAGCAGCCTTGATGGCATCCTCTGCGAGCACTGGAGCAGCAACACAAACAAAAAGTTAATAGTAAATAAAGAAGTTTAAACCATAACAAAAAGAGAAAATTAGCATAAATCTTACTTGAGCAGTGCAGCTTAACAGGTGGAAGACTGAGCTCTTTGGCGATGTCTGTGTTCTTTATTGCCAAAGCTTCATCCACCTGAAAAAAGAAATGCAAAAATCATTCAGTAAGTGCAATTTTTTTTGTCATTTCGGCATGAGGAGAATAGAATATACCATAGGAATGTAAAAAAAAAAAAAAATACACAAAATACTCTTAAGGTTGGAGACAGTGTCACTCACAGTTTTGCCTTTCACCCACTCTGTGGCCAAGGAGCTGGAGGCGATGGCAGAGCCACAGCCAAAGGTTTTGAACTTGGCATCAACAATCTTCCCCTGGTCATCAACCTTAATCTGTCCAAAGGTACTTTAAGTTATGCATCAACAACGATGTTAAGAACAATTAATATAACACATCTAAATTACACATAACCAACGCAAATTATCTGTACTTACTATGTCATTATAAGTTTATTTGTCCTAATTGTTTATTAGGCTCCAACTCAATTATACTAGTAATAAGCATACCTGAAGTTTCATTACATCTCCACAAGCTGGCGCTCCCACCAAACCAGTCCCAACATTCTTGGAGCTTTTGTCCATTGATCCCACATTTCTTGGGTTCTCATAGTGATCCACCACCTTTGAATAGAAAAGTAGGAAAAGCATTGCAAAATGCACCATTGTGACTTAATCCATAACAGTGACGGGAAGCCATGCAGATGATAACAAAAGCTTCCTGGAATGCTGTTTGAATTGTGCCTCAAGAAGGCGTTTGTCTAGAAATCTTGCAGCCTTTGTGATGCAACTTCCTATTTTTCCTTCCATACACAATTCTTCAAAATACACAGATTTAGACTGGATTTTATTGTCCACTAACTCACGAGTCCTGCCCTTCCATTTCATTTTCACACACAAGTTACTTACAAATCATCAATTTATCATCTTTTTGATGCGCATCTTGAAACATTAGCCGATAGAAAACAAGCATGCGTGTTGGTTGAAGATCTGTGACGCCATCAGGTATTGCGTAATACCTGTTTCTAGCACACGTAAGTTACTGTGCTCCTGCAGCAGTTAACTGGAGCTCATTAAGTATTTAAATTGGACAGCTGGAAAGAAGATCAGTGACGTTATTGTAATCTCCAACTTGTTAAATAGCTAATATGAAGCAAGTATTGATAGTCTCTCAATTATGACCTTCTTTTCATAGCACTCTTTATCTGTCACATTTTTAAAATGCAGACATTTATCATGAAGCAAACACATTTAAGCTCCTTTTTATCTGATTATCTATTTGCTACACATTTAACTTGTTTTTATCTCGTCTCTTGAGCTAAATAATCTCCACTGTGACACCATTGTGTATATGTAAACATTAGCCGATTAGCAGCTACGTTACTGAGACTTTTTAGCCTTGAGACAGGATTTTACAGCTACAGCATACGGAATGTTTTACCTTCTGATGGTAGCAGCTCTGGGTGATAAACTCTGGAGCTGAGAGTCTCCTGGTGAGTAAAGCCAGAGGACTGAGACAGTTCTTCGCCGCTGTAGCCGCCATGTTGAACTAATGGCGCAGATAGTTTGTAAGCAAACAGGAGGTGTGGCAAACGGAGCAGTCAGGGGGAGGGGCTAACCAAATCACTACTGCGCATGCTCAGTTGTTGTAAACAAGGGGCTTTTCATAGAAAAAATTGGGCTGACCAAGTGTTTTTATTCTTAATTTTTATATTAAACATATTTTATGGCAAAAAATACTTTTAAATTCAATACATATCAAACGATTATTATCCAATTGGGTGTTATTAAATCTAGGTCATCCAAATTTCACGTTTCAGTCAACTTCTTTCAACTTTTTATTTTAATGGAAAGAGAGTAATTTACAAAATCGGATAACTAAAAATAGACATTAAAAAAAAGAAAAACGTTATGACCTGTGTTGACTGCTTTATGGGTTCAAGAATATACCATGTTCTTTGAATGCTCCAAGAAAGGATTGTGCTTTTTTAATTTTTTTTTGTTCATCAGCTTCAGTGCTTTGAGGTAATTGTCTTTCTCCATTTAAGTGTGGATGAAAAAAAATTCCCAGGATAATCAGGTTGTTTACTATCAGGTCCAATTTTCTGTTTTCCAGATGAATACCAAATATAATAGATTATCTTGTGAAGGGAATGATTTGGATTTTGGATGATAGCCATGTTCTCCCAAAAAGTCCCAGAGTAGATACAATGGAACAGATGATCAGTCGTTTCACAAAACACAGTTCAATACCAAACCTCAGTCTTAGCAACTCGTTGGATGGATATATGCTATTCATAACTTTGAAGTGAATTTCTTTTGTTTTGAGACTTATAAGCTATATAGTTCTCAATTTTTTAATGTTTGATTAGGAAAATAGCTGGTTAATGGAATTTCTATTTGTTTGCTTTGTAAAAAAAAAAAATTTGTTAAGCTGAGTATGTATGAATAGATTCAAACAGTCCTTATCCAAAAAAATAAGAATATTAATATTTAGTGCAGGTGGGTTAGTAACTACCAAGTGCGAATTAGAGTTTTGGACTAATCTCTTGACGGCTTCTGGGATGGCTTTAATAACTTTATTAAATTGGGACTGTGAGCAGTTTAAGTTATATTTTAAGCAAACGTCTTTGTAAGAGAGCCAATGTCCCTGGTCATTGAGTAAATGGGTTATTTACCAGATATTTTTATCCATCCAATGTTGTAAGAAAAAAGACTGTCTATTACATGTGATATATCTGTTATTCCATATTGGAGTTTGATGTGGAGTGAAGTTATGTGAGAACAATCCTTTCCAGTACAGTAAAACCTGTTTGTGGAAAGATGACAGTTTGGTTGGTAATTTTTCAACTTGAAAATCACATTTAAGAACAAATTCTATTCCTCCCATTTTTTTTTTAATCCCTCTGGGGAGACAGTACCAAATGCAGTTTTTGTTCAAAATAAAGGATTTTAGCCACTTTAATTTTATCATTGCGTTCAAGCTATCGTTTTTAGACCTCTATCCTCATAATCTTGGTTTATTCTGGACTTTTTATATAGTGTACCCTATTTTTCCAAATAAAATTCAAGTTCAATTGGTTGAAAGTTTTGATAAATTAATTAGATATAGAAACTGAGTATGCAGGAATATATGCAACGAGCCAAGGACTCCATTTTAGTTAAATATGTTCTTCTAAGACTGTGAGGTCTCTTTCTAACCACATAACTTCGTTCAACTTGTGTACAGTCCAAAACAGTAATGCCAATTCCTAAAGTAAAAAAAAAGTCAGCTCTAGCCTAAAGATTTGTTATTCTGCATTTTGATTCAGTCCTCGGTCCAAGCTTACATAATTTTGTAGTCCAAGTTTATGCTTTCTTCTTGATTGTGCTTTTGTTCTTGTGTGCAACTCTCAGCATTTTTGTAGAGTTATCTGTTTGTAATTCTGTCTTGTTCTCTATTTTTCCCCACACAACTAAAATGTCACACTCGTATTACTAGTCATCAATTCCCATCAGTATTATGTTTGTACATTTAGTCCATGCTCTAGAACAGGGGTGTCAAACTCACTTACAAAAGGGGGCCAAAATTAAAACCTTTTTCAAATTAAGGGCCAATTTCAGAATCTACATTAACTCAAATCAGATACCTAACGTCTTTTCTTGGTCACAAGTTCCTCAACAAGTGTTTGATTGGTCTCATTTGATGTTCTTTCTTGTGTTTATGACATCATAATCAAAGATTACTAGAAAAAATTAAAGAGAGAGAAATATTGTACGTTTCACATATCATCTTGGGGGCCAGATGAGATGTCAACGAGGGCCACATTTGGCCCCCGGGCCTTGAGTTTGACACATATGATCTAGAACAAATAGTGACAATAAAGCACTGGTTGCTAACCACTTTAAAAATTAAATTTAAACAAAACAAACAAGGACAATAAAAAAACTCTTAACAATGCATATTGTTTGTCTTGTCAATGAAGCTCATACTTTTTTAAACCACTTAAAAGTGGAACTTTAAAAGTGAACTTCCTTTTTCTGAGACTTGTGAAAGTTTGATCAGTTGGTTTGTTCTGAATAGACACTACTATAATATGATCTATATATTTGTTTTATTAGGTTTTTATGATGTAATCAGTTATATGATGACTTCCCACAGGAACTTTTTGCTCAGATTTTAACCTTTGTGTCCACATTTCTTAATTCTTACTGACATCAACATATTAAGTAATTTCGCACAGGAAGGAAAAGTGAGAAGTTGCACCCAGATGCAAGTTTACCAGAAATCTAAAGAACAGAGCTGTTTATGGTGATTGCTTTCACACTGAAACATAAAGTGAGTATCATTTATCCTTTTTGACAAACCAAAATCAAGTTTTTTAACAGCTGTTTAATGTGTAAATCTTTCTGAATCATGTTTTTTTTTTTCTTTAGAAAAAGTTGCAATGGATGTGGATTACATTGAAATATACGATTACATTGTCAGCAATGAAACCGAGAACACTACCACTGAAGTACCTGTAAATTTTACTAGTTCTCAGTCCTCCCTGATTTATGTTCACGTGGCGATCAACATCATTATATCAGTTGTTGGTCTTGGAGGAAACTCAGTGGTGATTTGGATTTGTGGATGTAAAATGAAAAGAACAGTCATCACCACTTGGTACATGAGTCTGGCGATTTCAAACTTGTTATTCTGTGCTTTTTTGCCCCTTGAAATATCCTACATGATAACCTCCCACTGGCCTTTTGGACAAGTTCTGTGCAAAGTCACCTCGTCCGCTCTGTTTCTCAACATGCACAGCAGTGTGTTTCTGCTGGTTCTGATCAGTGCTGATCGCTGTGTCTTGATTTTATTTCCTGTGTGGGCACACAACCACCGTACAGTGAAGAAAGCATTCGGAGCAGTTGCTCTGATGTGGCTCCTCTCAGCACTTCTAACGTTGCCCTCAATGATCTTCAGAAAAACCACAGTCCATGATTCAGTCACTCAGTGCCACACAGACTACAAGGACCATTTCAGACACAGAGCTGTGAAACTGAGTCGATTCATCTGCGGATTTCTGATTCCTTTCCTTACCATTGTGTTCTGCTGTGTGGTGCTTGGTGTGAAGCTGAGGAGATCAACCATCAGGTCAAAAAAGCCTTATAAAATCATGGCGGCCCTCATATTATCGTTTTTCTTCTGTTGGGTCCCTTATCATACCTTTGTTCTCCTGGAGCTGGATTTGGGGAACCACAGCCTGGAGGCTCTTCACACTGGACTGAAAGTAGGGGTCACACTGGCTGCAGCAAACAGCTTCATATCACCTGTTCTTTATGTGTTCATCGGCAACGACTTCAAGCGAACTCTTAAAAGATCGTTGACTTCACGGTTTGAGGAAGCGATGGCAGAGGACCTTCGCACAGGTGCTCTCCATCACTCTACGTCTAAATCAATGGAAATTATTGAAAAGTTCTGATGCGTTTGTCGTTAATGTCAAGTGTTATTTTGCAGTACATTCAATTACCGCAGTCATTGTAAATGCTTGTGACAAAGATATTAAAAATTATATGAGAAATTGTTTGGTCACTGTAACTTCAAGAGCTGATCACTGCAACAATCAGAACTGCTGAATTAAGGCTGGTTTTTAAGTGCGGATTATGTATTCATGAAGTTACAGATTCAGTAAAGTTCTTTTAAATACATTTATTTTAATAAAACTTTTTTCTAATTTGTAAACTAAAACACAAGTTTAGGTACACAAATGTTAAAGTTACATAGCTGAAAAAGCTATGGGGCACCGAAAGTAAAAGTTTGGTTGAAATGTTTAAGCTGAAAGTTTTTAGATTTCTCAGACTTTTCCTATTTTTTTCCTATACGGTATAAAAATAGGAACACAAAAATTATATAACTAAATTATTTATATTTTCAGAAAGCGCCCATGCACATATATATTGAAAAAATATTAGCACAATTTAGGATACAGCTGGTTCTGCTGCAGTTAAAATCAACATATAAAATAGTTGCTTAAATTATTATTGTTATTAAAGAATAAAGTAGTAGCATCACTGCTCCTACACAGTAAGAGGAGCCCGTTGAGGTGCTTTGGGTATCTGGTAAGGATGCTCCCTGGATGCCTCCCTATGGAGGTTTTCCAGGCATGTCCAACTGGGAGGAGACCCCATGGGGAAAACCCAGAGCATGCTGGAAAGACGATGTCTCTTGGCTGGTTTAGGGAATACCTTGGAATTCTCCTGGAAGAGGTGGCTGTGGAAAGAGATGTCTGGCCCTCCCTGCACGAGCTGCTCCCACCACCGCAAACAACTCTAAAACAAGCTTGTTTGTTTAAACTAATTCACACTACATTTTTTGAGAAAATGCTTTTGTATTTAGTATTATCAACAACACTAATAAAAACAATAAAAATTGTAATACCGCAGCTTATTACAATAGTTTGTAATAATTTCAATATTAATCTTTTCATTTTCCTTTTTTTATTGTTATTATCGATTATGTATTATTATTATTTTTTCCACCAGAAACTTCCTACCTCTTTTTACTATAATAAAGCTTTCATTAACAAAAAAAAGTCAAAAGAAAGATAGCACAGATGACACGCCCATATTTAAACAAACCACGCCCCTGTGCTACATAACCCCGCCTCTACTGATAGCGGATGTGATGCAACTAGCTGTAGGATATATTTTTTTACTCCTCACAAGTTATAATTTACAGTTGCCGTCATTCAAGATGTGTTTACGTTAATTTAGCTCTTTGGCCGCAGTATTTGTACATTTGTTGTCGGTTTTTGGTCCAGTTTGTAAAGCTGTCTTCCTCGCTCGTCTGCCAACGTTAGCTAGTAGCTTCTCCAGGTAGCTGGTTGCCAGTTTAGCTAGCAGCCGGTAACATTTTATTTTTTTTCTCGTTTCTCTTATTATTAGAGACCAGTCCTGTCGACTGGGCTTCCTTATGTGTGTATCCCACCCGCAAAATCTCGGTTAGTGGGTCGAGTGTTAGCAAATGGCCGCCGCTGCCTCGGTGTCCCAGCCAGCCTCGGGCTCTCCCGCTGCGGACGCTGAAAACTCGAGTACCGGTGGATCCAGCAGCTCGACCGCGGCCGAAGGTGGCACCCAGGACAGCACCTTTGAGTGCAACATATGTCTGGACACAGCCAAGGACGCCGTGATCAGCTTGTGTGGACATCTTTTTTGGTAAGATGTGGGTCTATGGCTCTTGTTTACGTTTTTAAAATTGGATCACCCCTTACTGAATGTAAAATGTGACAGCTTTAATGACCAATGTGAACTGAATACACACCAGTAAAGATCCTGAAAGTTGTAGTTTTACAAACTTCTCAACCTAACCCGACACTTCTGCTGGATGTTGCTGTAAAATATTTTAATGGGGTAATGTTTAAAAAAAAAAAAAAAAACACAGGCATGTCTATATAGCAAAAACTTTTTTTTTTGTACTTTAAAACAAACACGCATTATTTAGTTTTGCAGTGAAATATAAAATCTTTTACAGTGATGAAACTTGCTCATTCATCTCCGTTCTTTATTTTAGATACAGATCGTTTCAGATCATCATTACACAAAGTGAAATATTTCAAGCCTTTATTTCTTCTAGTTTTGATGAAAAACCTAAATTTGGTGTCTCAGAAAATTAGAATATTGCATAGCGTGAAGCATTTGGTACTGATGAGTGTGTGCAGGAGGCAAGTCCTGCTGGAAACTGAAATCAGCATCTCCATAAAGCTCCTCAGCAGAAAGAAGCATCTAAAATGTCCTGGTAGATGCTGTGTTGACCGTGGACTTCAGAACAATGGACACCAGCACAGGACATGGACCCAAACCATCACTAACTGTGGAAACTTCACTCTAGACGTCAAGCAACATGAATTCTGGGCCTCTCCACTCTTCCTCCAGACTCTGGGACCTTGATTTCCAAAATGACATGGAAATTAACTTTACCGGTAATCTGAAAAGAGGTCATTGGACCACTGAGCAACAGTCTCAATTCTTTTTGTCAGCCAGATAAGACGCTTCTGACATTGTCGCTGGTTCAGGAGTGGCTACACTTGAAGAATGAGACATTTTGTTGCTCATGTCTAGGAGTTAATTAGCTGATTAGGGTGTGCTACCATGAATGTGCCGTTTAACCTTTTGACAATAGTCTTATTTTCTGAGACACCGAGTTTGGCTTTTTTTCATTATTTGTAAGCCATAACCATCAACATTACAAGAAATAAAGGCTTGAAATATTTCACTCTGTGCATAATGAATTCACTCATCTATGCTGCAGTAATATGTTGTTTTACTTTCTGAAATGATTCACAAAAAAATTGAACTTTTCCACAATATTCTATTGTTTTAGATGCACCTGTATAGTAATCAAACCTGTATTCAAGTACTGTACTTCAGTTACTTTTTATAGCTGTTATTTGCATGTGTTTTGTACCATTTGTTTATTGGATGGGTTTGAGGACTATTGATGTTTAATCAAACCTTCTTTTTTCCCCTTTCATAATCTTTTGCGCCTGGTGTTTAGTTGGCCTTGTTTGCATCAGGTAAGCTTTTTTTTTTGTCTTTGCAAAGTGAGTGCACAAAGAGTGCATTGATAGATGTTTTCCAGTTGAACTGGTTAGCTCTTTAACTTTTGTTTTGTCTTAATGCAGTGGTTGGAGACTCGACCCAACAGACAAGTGTGTCCGGTATGCAAAGCTGGAATCAGCCGGGATAAAGTAATCCCCTTGTATGGGAGGGGGAGCACGGGTCAGCAGGATCCAAGGTAGGTGCTGACACAAAGCTCGGATGGTAAAAATGTGGGTTTACAAATTGAGCAGCTCTCTGAAATGATTTGTCTTAAAGGGAAAGAACCCCACCTCGACCACAAGGACAGAGACCCGAGCCAGAAAATCGTGGTGTAAGTATGAGTAACAGTTTCAGTGTCATGTCAGCTGTAGATGAACATGAAACTCATGATGAAACGATTACATAATGGAGTGTAAACCTGCTGCATTCATTACTGAAAAGACTGGTCCCACTGGGATCCATTACCTGTTAACAGCTGAGATGATGCTCTCCTCTGGAGAATGACCACACGTTTTACTGCCTATTGCGTCACATTTTTCTTATTGAATGTTTGAAACATATATATATATATATATATTTTAACAGGGTTTTCAGGGGTTTGGCTTCGGGGATGGGGGTTTCCAGATGTCATTTGGGATCGGTGCCTTTCCATTTGGCATCTTTGCAACAGCTTTTAACATCAACGACGGGCGACCTCCTCCAGGTAGTTACACACTTCACTCTGAACTCTTCATTTCTTCTGGTGACGACCTATCTGATAACCTTTGTGTTGCCCACACAGCGGCCCCGGGGACACCGCAGCACACGGACGAACAGTTTCTGTCTCGACTCTTTCTGTTTGTCGCGCTGGTGATTATGTTTTGGCTGCTGATTGCATAAATGCATGCACAGAGAACGGGTTTTAACATGAAAGATTCGACAGATGTGAGACTTTATGGTGGTGTTTTGGTCTTGATTGAAGCCTTTTTCTCATCAAATCATGACATTTAAAAAAAGCAGAAATTAATTAAACCAATCACTCAGCTTGGCAATTTAATGTTTGCTGCTTTACATGTCATGGAGTCATAAAAATCTGTAATCTACACTTTCTAAGGCTGCAGGGTTCTTTACTATGGATTAGTATGAAACACCTCCCATATTAACTCACTGATGTCTCCAGAGTTTTATAAAATGAGCCATGAGGCTAACACTCTTTGCTAACAAATTTCAAATAATTTATTTACGTTTTTGAGATCACAAATGGGGGACTGTAAATTTAATGAACAGCTTATGGTGAACTAGAGTTTTATGTTTGGACACAACGGTGGGATACCAACTTTTTGGGGTTTGTTTTGAAGTTTATAAATCGCCTTTTCCTTCAGGCGTGACCCAAATCCCAACAGTTTTCAGCAATCACAGCATCTTAGCTGGGACTTAAATATTTCTGCATGTAAGCAGATAAAAAGCTTAATTTCAGTGTTCTTCACCAGACTGTATCTTTTATTTTGCTCTGGTTTCTGTATTTCACAGGAATTCATGTAAAATACTGTAGAATAAAGAGGTAAAATGAAGGTTGGTTGTTTAAAATGGCACTTTTCTAACTGTGAATTTTCTTTACTGACAGTAAACCTTTATAAATGATGATTATAATATGTTGTTTGGTTATTTCTGCGTACATTTATTGCTTTTTTTTCTCCTGCAAAGATCTGCCACAAGTCAAAACACATGAAAAGTAGTTCCACCTCAACCATCGTCGTTTTGTGTGGGGAAAATGTTCAACATTAGTCTTTTATTCCTTGAGCTGTCCTTTTATCTTGAAATTCTGTCTGCGAAATGTTAAATTCGGCCTCATACATAATCTGCTGGATCTTCATCTTTGTCTCGCATCTCTTTTGTGGGGCGAGTCGCTTCAGGGCGGGGACGAAGCTCAGCAAGAAGAGTTCATCTTCGTCTCGAGGCCTGGAGGCAAACGAGCCGCCGTTGTCTTTGAGCAGCCATTTAGTGGGCGAGTGTGCGCTTTGAGGGTAGGACGGGGATGATGGCTCTGACACAATCTTGCGTTTCTGTCCGGTACTGCTGGTGGGGATTACCTGAGGGCCTGGTGGCGTCCTGGCCACAGCAGCCAGCTGAGCCACCTGCGTGTCCTGGGACAGAGCAGGAAGCTGCGTTACAAAGGCCAGATGGGCCTTTTGCTCAGACTGACTCACTTGGACCTTTGAGGCGTTCAGAGGCGTCTTGACGGAGTCCGACAAAGTGGTTTCCTCTTCTGCACTCCCAGTTACGTTGTTGGGATTTTCATGGTCCTCGTCAGCGTTGCTGGAAACGTCTGTCACGCCAAACCTTGATCCAGTGAAGGGGGCGATAAAGTTCATAAGCTGACGGTATTTCCACTTGCTATGTACAAACTCTCCCTGCTTCTTGCTTTTAATCTCCATCCGCACTTCTTTCAGATATCGGTCTCGTAGGTTTTTCCATCTTCTTTTGCACACCTCGGCTTGAAAAGAAAAGATGTCAGAGTAAAAAGTCACGATGCACAAAATGGGATCTTATTGAAAATCAAACTGAAGCAGCGAGCAACACTTATTCACTGAAACATTTTTAAACGTGTTCAAAATAATAAGGTTAATTGCTGCACAGATTATTGACCTACAAAAAATAACTTGTTAAATAAAAATGTAGGCAAGTTTGGATTTGTTTCTTAAAAGCATCAAGGGATGCATATTATGTACCGTATTTTCCACCTTACACGTTGCACCGCCCTATAAGTCGCATCAGTCCAAATGGGTCTAACAAAGTGGAAAAATCCATAAAAAAGTCGCATTTATTACGCGTCAACGCTGACAACTTGGAAACGTGGGCCGGTGTTGTGCCAAAAATCAAATGGCGGCCGTGGGAATGTGCACGGGAGGACTTTAACAAGAATTTATCAAGATTAACACTTAAAAACAATTATTTGTTTACTCGAAATTATAGTAAAAGCGTGTCTCAGTCTAACTTTTGCTTAAGAAATGCACTTTGACGGTCAAATCAGCTGCATTTTCAAAAGTCCTTGGTGCTCTGGGAGCACGCTATGAGGGAGGTAATTAGGAAGGAGGAACGCTGCGCATTTCTTTGAAATTTAACCAGATAAGCACCTAAAACAATTATTTGTTTGCTCAACATTATAGCAAAGGTGTGGCTCAGTTGAACTTTTACTTAATAAATGCACTTCAATGGTCAAATTTGCTGCATTTCGCCGGGGCGGCGCAGCAAAATGAAGCGGATTTGACGGTTGCTCCAGGCGAGCTGGACGAAGATGGCAGGCTAAGGCAAGCCAATTGTGTCATTAATGGCCATGTTTACCTATTACATGACACAACAGCATGCTATACCAGTGCCACCTTGCGGCAGAAAATGGTACTGTTCAGTATTTTCAGTCAGAATGAATGAAAACAGTCATATCTCAGTCAAAAGTTGGTTTATAAATACGGGAAAAAAATCCATAAATACTTTGCTTCGGCCTATAAGTCGCAGACTCGCAGAGAAGGTAAATTATGCAACAAAAAAAAGTGACTAATAGGCTGAAAAATATGGCATTTCTTTAGGCAGTGAGCAACATATTTTTTTATGTGGTATTTAAATTAATTTTTGCATCATTTCATTGTTGTATAGTCCTAAACGCTAACAAATAAACAGAGTTGGGAAGTGTAATTGTAAAAATGCAGCTCCCAGAAAGGAAAAGGCAGGTAAAGAAAATGGATGTTTGAATTGAAAAGTTTTTTGTATTTATGTATAAATACATTTAAAAAGTCCACTCTGCTGTTAAACAATGTACTAGTTTGCCACTAAAGTTTAAATTTAAACTATTTATGGGAAATTGCACACATACTATACGTTTAATAGTTTTAATATGGTGCAAGTCAGGGAAGAATGAAAGAACAGCAACACTAGTGGAGGCTAAAGGTCTTTTTTTTTAAATAATGGATTAATCAATACAGAAGATAGTCAAACAAATGTGCAAAGAGTAAATAAATTTTGTTGTGAACAGCTTAATTTTCTGCTCTGCTGATGTTACCCTGGTAATGTGCAAAACTATTTTAAACTACGTTTTTATACTAAACTTTAAATATAATGTTTTCTTCAGTCTAGTTGTGGCCAAGCGGCAGGACTTCTTGGTCTCACATGAGGCTGGGGGGCTCCTTCCTCTCGTTCTGCCATGTTTTATCCTAAAATCCGTGGCCCACCTTAACGAAGCTTTAGCTGGGTCTCCGCAGCCGCAGTCCGTGAAGCAGAGCACGTTCTCCGCCGTTAGCTTCGCGGTAGCGTCGCGTGTCGTTCATTCTGCGCGAGGCGGCCTTCGTCGCTAGCTACCGCTAGCACGGTGCGCGCGCGGCCGCATTTGCATTTACGGCATCAGGATGTTGAAAAGCACAAATAACTTAAAAAATACCGCAAATCTCCATGTTGTATTTTGGAGTGTTGCGACCTTTCGTTGTGCTATTAATTAGCTGGTGAAGCCAAAAGCTGCTAAGCATATAGCTCCGTAAAGTTGTGCTAAACAAGGTACTCACATGGGAGTCCCAGCGCGAGACTGATGCTTCTCCAAGCGCTCGCCCGAATTTCCGTACAACGATAATTCGGCTGAGTGACATTGTAAAGCTCTGAGTAGTTAAATACAGCCAGTATTAACTTATCGTCCATCTTGCCCCTTGTGTTTAGTGTTTCTGCGTGTTGCGCGGACGCGGAAGCGGCTCCCGCCTTTTCCGCCCAGGCAGCTGCTGCTGGCGGCGGGCTGCGTGCCGCGCATGTCACTCCGGAGTTGGACACCAGGGGGCGCACTAATCATCATTCTTCAAGTCCTCTTCTTCTCTATCCACAACCACAACACCCCCATAAAGCCATACGAGTGTCTATATTTTCTTACTATTTATTCAGCACACAGTAAATTTGGTAACAAAAACAAAATACTTCTTTTTTATTTACCCTTTATTTATACAGGTAGTCTCATTGAGCCACGAGAACTCGAAGAGAGACCTGTTTAGAGAGCATATGGGGGTTAAGGACCTTGCTCATGGGCCCAGGGTGGGGTGAATTAGGATGGGGGCAGGTGTGGGTGCTTCACCTACCCCACCCACATTTATTTTAATTTTTTTGTGTTGTCGGTACCGGGGCGTGAACCAAGGATCTTCCGATCACAGCCCCACCTTCTCTAGCCTCTGCACCACCACTCCCCCTAATTCTTGACCAAGACTTGGGTTAAAACAAGATTAACTCAATCCCAAATGTCATCATGTCCCAAAAAAGAGTTAGAAAAAAACAAATATTGCATTGAGAAATATTTTGCTCAAAGCCAGTTTACAGTTTATGCAGTCACGGTTTAGTTTTCTTGTTTTTTCTCACATGTAACTGTTATTGTCTTATCATGAATCCTGTGTTTTGCTGCACGTGTTAGGAGATTCTCTGCATTTCCAGTTTTCACAATATTAATCCTTATAGTGTGTCTCGCGGCAGAGACGTTGAGTGTTTTCATGCATGAGTAGTCTTGTGCCATTAGCAGTTCAGTGCTCCGTTATCAGCAGTCAGTGTGTGGGTGTATTTCAGACCTTGTTCCTGCTGTCTGAATGGCTGAGGATTGATTTGTGTCAAATGTTATTCTATTTTCTTCCTCCCACTACCTTTCTGTTTGAATAACCCTTTGAAACGAAGGACATTTAAGTCAGTGCATGCTAGCAGAGTGGTGCAATTTATTTCCGTTTCTCTGATTCGCCTGCAGACCTACTAAAATAGGTTGACTAAAACTGTTTTTGTGCATGGGATTTTTTTTAATTAGCATCCACAGAGGAAACAGGGAGACAACTAGCCAAGCAAACAGTATACTAACAACTTCCATATTAAACTAGAGGGGGAACATTCAACCTGCTATCGGCACACAGTTCAAAAGCCTGCCTCTCTGATGGTATGAGGGTGCATTAGTGGCTATTGCATGAGCAGCTTACATGTCTGGAAAGGTACCGTCAAAACAGAAAAGTAAGCACATGTCTTGGAACAAGTGCTCCCATCTAGACGTTTTTTAAGGCCTTGCATATTTCAGCAACACAATAAGTAGAATATTCCAGATGCTGAACCTCAGTTGGAACTGTTTGATGTATCATGAAGCAAAACATCCAGTAAATAAGACCCAGGACTGTTTAACAACTGGAGTCCTACATCAGACAAGAATGGGACATAAACTCCAGCAGCTGGCTGTTCTCTAGATGTTTAGGGGATGCTTCACGGTGGTAAACATGGACCGCTCCAATTTTTTTAAATTTTGTTTTTAGATCAGTTGCTGCAATCAAATTCAAAATGACATTTTCTTAGTTTAAACATTTGATACATTTATTATGTTTGGCATTGAATAAAATCTGGGTTTATGAATTTTGCATATCATTTCATTCTGTTATTAACGTCGCGACTTTTTCAAAACGTACTGTTGAACAGCGATCGTTCCTTTCACTTGACTTACTGTGCCAAACATTTCTTACAACAACAACAACAGCACAAACCTTTATAATTCTCATCTTCAGTAATGAATTTTTGAACTGTTTGAACCTACATGGATGTGCTACAATGCCTTCTATTAAGAGCCACAAAAACGGCAGATAACAATCTCACATGCTGCTCGAACTATACATCAACAATCTCGGATGCTATTAAACCAAAGTGAAAAGGATGGGAAGGTGTTTATTGTTATCTGTTTCCAAAAGCCCTTATAACAGAGGGGGGGCTTAAGACAGATTGTAGAAATCCCTTAATTCCATGAAAAAAAACAAAAAAAAACAAGGTGCATTGCCTTGTATGAAATCACAGGATTTGCTGGGAGCGAGATGAATTTAACCTGTAATAGCTTCACCTCACTGTGCGCATTGTCAGAGCAGTCAAACTGAAAGGACTGCAGCACACAGATAAGACACAGGATGCATGATTGTGAATACAAATCATGTGGATGGATGTATTGAATTAACTCCTCCTGCGTATTAATCTATATTTAGTGAAATTCTATCAGCGTCCCTACATTTAACTGACTGAGGTGTCCGTTCAGCTGGAAGGACTGTGTGCGTGGTGTTATGATCTGAATCAATTTCCACCAATTTACACAAAATCACTTTGAAGTTAAAGCTCAACAGAGAGGGGACGTTCTAAAATTAATTTAAAGACTAATCCTTAAATTCGCAGAGTCTTGGGCCGCACCAGAGATGTTCATCTTTAAGTCCAGGTTTCTAATACCAAGCAATCTCCTTTTCTCTAAAACCTCAACAATGAGGATCTTAGGGAGCTCTCCACTTTTCATTTTATGCAGTGAAATCTGATTTTTCTCGAAGAAAAGGAACGAGGCAAGATTAACCGAATCTGCCGTCCTCCCTAACCTCTTCACAAAACTGCCCAGATTAGCTAGGAATTAAGTTTCAACCGTTTTATGTGTCTGGTCCACAGGGGGATTATGGTTTTACTTCATCTTTTTTTCTTTCCTCCCCCTTTTTGGGCCTATAAGGGCTCGAGTCCCCGCTGAATAAAGAGGGGGAAAGGCAGCAACTGAGGCTGGAGTATCCTAAAGTGTTGCATGTTTCCAGCCTGATCTCTGCTTCTGCTTTCTTGGAATTTTCTTGGAAATGGACGGCCTTATCAAGACGGAGAAGAAGTTGTCGTTCACAATTGAAAACATTCTGAGCAAGTATCCGAGCAGCAGCGTGGAAAAACAGTCCTGTGGAACAAGTGGGTTTAAGGAGACCAAGTCTGTGCATCACACCTGCCTGTGCTGCTGTTACTGCTCCCATTGTGCCGACATTTTCCACCCTGATTTCATTCATGAAGGTAGGACCACCTCCCTCTGCTCAAATTGATCTTATCTTTTATTGTGTTTTTATTTGTTTACTCCTAAAGTCTTCATTGTTCTTGCAGCCTGCCAGTTTGGATGGAGCTCAGCGATGCTCTCAGAGTCCTGCAGGCTGGGAGACGCTCACAAGGAGGAGCAGGCGTCCGGTCAGGTGCAGAGGAGAACCAGACGTCACCGCACGATATTCACCGAGGAACAGCTGGACGCGCTGGAGGAGCTGTTTCTGCAGAATCAGTATCCAGATGTGAACACGAGAGAGAAGCTTGCACAGCGCACTCACCTGAGAGAAGAAAGAGTAGAAGTAAGACTGCATTTAGTTTAAACGAGACTTTCATTGTGAATATGTGTTGCCAGATCATGTGAATGGAAAGAAACGACCGGGTAACACGTCGACTTCCATTTCCCATCACAGGTTTGGTTTAAAAACCGAAGAGCGAAGTGGAGACGTCAGAAAAGATTTTCATTCGTTGTGGGAACTACAGAAAACTAACGTGTTTGACTGAAATATCTGACAAATAAATTGTGTTTTAGACAACTAGAAAAAAAAAAAGTAAACAAACATCTTTTTGTTCCAGTTTAATCAAATAGATTGTTGATAGCCAGACTGGTTGATTACATGCAATGACATCAAAAACTAAATGTCACGTGTTTGTGGTTTTGCTTTTACACAAGATGTACAAAAAATGAATAAATATAGATTTTTTTTTTAAAGAACAACTTTCTTACAAGACCTTTGTTCATGCTGTTACAATTTAAAAGTTGATCATGTTGAAAGCTCAGAGTTACATGTTTTAGTTTTACTTAATAAACATTTTTTTAATCTCAGATTCAACATAAATTTTATACAGTTACAGTAATTTTATAGTATCTGACATCAGTATTGTTTTATAAAGTAGTTCACAAGACATATGATAGTTATTCTGCTTTTCAGGCTAATGTCAGCAGCAAATTTGGATTTGTTTCCTTTATGATTAATTTAAATATTAGCCAAATCTTTAATAGCCGAGCCTTGGTAGTTTCTTTACTCTTACAAATGATTTAAGGTTGTTTTTTTGTTGTTGTTGTTTTTTAACTTAATTTACATGAAATATAAAAGGTACAAAAAACAAACAAAAAATAAACAAATAAAACACCACATGATTCTTGCATATTTTGCATTTTCTTTTCAATGTGCAAGTTAGACCTAACTTATTAGAACATTGTATATCTGCATCCTATAACTGTATGAACAACAGTAAAAATAAGTAGCAAGTGGTTTTATTTTATTTATATTTTTATTTTTACAATTTGTACCTAAGAATCATTAGTAGAATTTACCTCATTAAAAATGTTCCTGTTGAAAGCCACTACCTAAGTTTGTTTTTCTTTGTTTATTTAATCTAAATCATGTTTTTGACTAAATGGTTGTAATGAAAGTTTTTTAATCATTTTGAATAAATTATATTGTTAAACATTATATTGCCTTAACTTAATTAAAAAAAATCCTGCTTGCCATTTAATTATTGTGAAAATTCAGTCCTGTAAATTAATCTCACATGAGAATAAATAAATAAATACTATTCATTCATTCATTTATTTATTTATTTTCGTCTTTTCATGAGATGGTCTTTTTTCTTTTATTCTGAAATAATAACAGGGGAAACGTAGCGACGCTGTCAACTTTTATACTGAAAATTTCTTCAGAAGGCGTTGGCTTCCGGTCACGTACCATCAGACGTTGCGTAACTACGTTTTGTGTACGGTAGCATTTTAGCTAAAAGTTAGCTTCAAGGTGGCGAATGTCCTGCTATTCTAAATTTGTAACACTTTCTAACATTCACTAATATTTTTTAGGCGTTTTCAAACTTAAACATTTGTGGTTTGTTTTTATTTATTAGTTCATCTTACAGTTTTTGGTTCGCTTGTTGTCTTTTGGCTAAGAGGCTAACAACAGCCCCCACACTGTCATGGAGGGTAACGGGAGAGTGAGGGAAGCGTTGTCCGGGCCTCTCGTACCTTCAGCGGTCACAATGCCGGTGGCTCTCCATCCTCCAGAGGACAAGGAGAAAGGAAGGTTAAAGAGAAAAATCCTCGACGAAGAAGAGTACATCGAGGTGAGACGAAACAAAATGGGAGTAAAAGTATTGTTTCGCTGGGTCAAATATAAACAACTGCTTTTTTTATGTCCACTGTTTGGAAAATGATAAGGACTCACAGTTTTTTTTACCTTAGTCACTTGATAATACAGATCCTGGTGAGGGTTAAATCCAAGATAATGCCTGTAAAATCATAAAACATCATGATATGGCATTAAATTGTTTTCAATAATAGTAAATGTATGATTTTCATATGATTGCTACAACAAGTGATAGGCCACATTAAGCAATCCATCTGGTTCACTTTGTAAAAGTGTCTTCTATTATCATGAAATAAATGCTTCATCATATTTCATCCGCGATTACTAAATTCTGTTTTGTGCACATGGCTGTTTTTGACAGAGTTTGGAGAAAATCATCCAGAGGGACTTTTTTCCAGATGTTACAAAATTGCAAGCGCAGAAGGACTACCTTGAAGCAGAGGAAAGTGGAGACCTGGAGAGAATGAGGCAGATATCAATCCGATATGGATCATCTTTGACCAAATCCACCCCACAAACCTCTGCACCTTGTGAGTAGAAAGCTCATTAGTAAGAAACAGGATGTTTGGTTGTACGCCTTTCTTGTTAAATCAATAAAATATATATTTTTTGTTTATTTCTTCAGTCTAGTATAAAAATATGTTGAAGTTCTTATTAAAGTTATTTTCTGTTTGTAAGATGTGACTCCTGCCAGCTTTGAGACACCAGTGGGCCACTCAGGATCTCCGTCCTCCACGTACCATAGTAAAAGTTCAGATGTTGGTATGTTACGTTTAAATCATTTCCTTTACTGTACGCTTTCTCCTTAGCTGATGGTTTTACATGTTGAGTAGTTATTTATTCGTCTTTATTAACTTTGTTTTCTCCTTAGAAAATAAAGATAATGACACAGAAGAGAAAAAGCTTCCCAGTTTGGATCGTTTTCTTGCTAAAAATACCAGCGAGGATAATGCATCATTTGAGCAGATCATGGATCTGGCAGAAGACAAGGAGAAATTGAGGCATGCGTGGTTATATGAAGCAGAAGCTGAATTTAAACAGGTTGGTCTGCGCAGGTCATATTTGGTCATTTTTAATAAACTAAATGCTTGAACTACAGCTGTGCTGTTATGCATCATATGTGTAAAAATATTAAAGTTGGAAGAAATATTAAATTACAGTAAGTTGAATTGAATTCATTGATAGTTTTCCATTCAAACAGCACTGTTACTTTGGCAGTGGTATGTACTAGATTCAGGTGGGATCTAGTTTTGAGAACAAAACAAAAAAAAAACTTAAAGGTAACTGGGAAAGCCTAGTTTCAGTAAATAGCGTGTGATTTATTTTATGTATAATTAGTCTTATTGATTTGTGGCATACTGCTGCATCAAAATGCTTTTTTTTTAACTTAATCATTATAAGTGGAACGTTCATGTTCTATGCCATAGTTGTTTTATAGTTGGCTTTTAATGACAAACGTGTCTGAACTTATAACACACTATGGATGTTTTATCTAATTTTTATTAGATAAGTAAACAAACATAAATTGTAAATAGTTCTGTGGAGCGAAATAAAAATGTGGAACTCCTTTGATAAACTTTTGGTGGCTGTAGTTTAAGCATGTGCCATGATTTAAACATGACTCTGCAGCGTATCATCATATCGGGAAGATAAATGAAACATCTTGTTTAAATAAAATGTTGCCATTGTAAAAAGAAAATTGCTGAAGGTTTGAATACTGTATTGTGTAAATGTAATCCTTGGCTGTAAGAACAGTATCAAAAATCATCCTGTATTTGTTTTCAGCGCCATGAAGAGAACCTCGCCTTACCGTCAGCAGAGAAAGCTGCTCTTGAATGTGTCAAAGCTGGACTGGAGACTTGGGAGTACAAGGCAAAGAACGCCTTGATGTATTATCCAGAAGGTGTGGCGATCAGACAGACAGCTCTGTTTTCCTTATACATTTTCATCAAAACACAAAATTCAACTCCGCTGCTATAAATTCTTTTTCTTTTTTTAAAATATCTTTTCCAGGTGTGAAAGACGATGATGCTGTGTTTGTCAAGCCAAGGGAAGTAATTCACAAGAACACGCGATTTGTTGGAGATCCATTCAGCAAAGCTCTTAACAAAAGTCAGATTCAACAAGCTGCGGCCCTCAATGCACAGGTACACTTAAGTGTTGTTTAAAATACTGCATATTCTATATTTGTGAATTAATTGTCCATTAGCTGAAAACATGATTGATGTTTATCTTTTTGTTTGTAGTTTAAACAGGGCAAAGTGGGGCCTGATGGGAAAGAGCTCATACCGCATGAATCCCCAAAAGTAAATGGCTACGGTTATGAAAGGACTCCTTCCCCTGCACCAGGTGGGGCTTTAACTGAACTGATGCACAACTCATTATTGAGCTGATACAGGTTTTTCATGCCTTGGGGACACTTTAATATCTTAAATTACTGCTACAATGAGCCACTCTTTTAGACTGCTTGTTGTATGAAAGACAATACATTCAGACAGTGTTTATATTCATGTCATGGCCTCATTTGGAGTGTTTTGCTAAAAAAATCTGTTCCTCTTAGGTGTTTCTGAGTCACCTCTGATGACCTGGGGTGAGATTGAGAGCACACCTTTTCGTCTGGATGGATCAGACACCCCGTACGTTGAGAGGAACCACGGCCCATCGTTCAAGGTGGTTACTATTTACTGATGGACCTTTTTTTGTTTTTTTAATCATTCAGTGCTTTCTGTTAAAGTTGTAATATATTGACATTATTTGTTGTTTTTAAAAGATACCAGAGCCAGGAAGACGAGAGCGGTTGGGCTTGAAGATGGCTAACGAAGCTGCTGCTAAAAACCGTGCAAAGAAACAGGAAGCGTTAAGAAAAGTTACGGAAAACCTCGCCAGGTGATTAAACTTAACCGTCTCGTCTCGATTAGATCTTATAGCAGTTCAAGACACTTGTTAGATTGTTTCCTGTTGGTGCATTAGTGCTGAAAAAGCCACTACGAGCTAACACTCGATTTCTGTGTTCCAGTCTCACACCAAAAGGTCTGAGCCCGGCTCTCACCCCTGCCCTGCAGCGGCTTGTAAATCGGACATCCAGCAAATACACCGACAAAGCACTGCGGGCGAGTTACACCCCTTCACCCTCACACAGAGTCACTCCCTGCAAGACTCCCTTCAACGGACCCGCCACTCCGACTGGAACACCAACGCCAAACAAAGCCAAGACCCCGAGTGCTCAGGACCTCACGTCGCTCACAGACAATCTGCTGCAGCTTCCCAAGAGACGGAAGGCCTCCGACTTTTTCTAGAAGGAGCCACTCTGCTCAGATTGTGTAGAGAAAAAGACTCATTGTAATGTGGGGGAGCTGTTATGACTTTCAAACAGGTTTTTCAAAATAAGAGCACATCTTTGCTGTAGATGGTGATTAAAAATATGTACAGTGGATTAAATGCTTTTTATTTTTTGTTACATTTTATTTATAAGCTTTACTGTGAAATACATTCTAATCCTCAATCTTTGGGTTATTTGGATTTCTGTTAATGTATGTTTTCTGAGAATAACAAAAACACCTCGGATCCTAAGATGAAGCTCTGTTCCACGTTTGTCTTTAGAACTAATTAATTGGATGACACAGTTTTAAATTTCAAAAAACAAGCACACGACCTGCAGTAACCCCATTAGTGGAAAAATGTTTGTTCAGTATTTTCTTCTGTTACAATAGAAAACCTCAGCTGAGCTTTTATAGGAAACATTCGATCACTAAATAATTTGAGCTCAATGATACCCGGAAAAAAGCTATAATTTAGTTTATAGTCAGATGCCATACCCTTTGTTTCTGGAAATACCACGACGTACTGCTGTCTGTTTTCTAAATTGTTTGTAATATCTTTAAATTTTTACTCATAATCTGTGTTGAAGCTGCAGATTTACACCTTCACCCCTCCAGAGTGGACAGTGTTTCCTCAGCAGGGATTCCCTCCAGGATTAAATCAGAGTTTAATTTTTACTCGGGTGCGTTGCATGTTTAGTGTTTAAATCGGTTCAGTGCTAAAATCAATTGCATTTTGAAGAACTTCTTTCATATCTATATTATCACTTCCCTTTGCAAAGTAACAGCAAACATAAAACTAAAAGTTGAACTTAACTTTTAAAATAAAAATTTTTCTCACTCATTGTGATGTTTAACAAACATTTTTGTCTTTAATTGCTATATTCTCACTATAGCCTCTAAAATCTGCAGTTTAAACTGGATTTTTAGACATGACCTTTTAACAAGACTGTTTTTTAATATATGTAAGCCATTTTATTGTATAATAAAGAACAAATGTCAACATTATAAAACTTTCTTGGATAGGTGTCCATTGAACTTGCCTGCAACAAAGTTTCAAGATAAGAGTGCTGACTTCCTAGAAATAACTAGTTATATATTTTTATTAAATGATTTAGTTACATATAAACAAATAAAATGAGTTGCGGGTGGATAATTTTAGTTTTTGGTAAGAGTGGTTAGATCGATTTATAATGAAAATTACTGTGAAACAAACAAAATTAAATCAAAACTTTTTTCTCGCACCTGCAAGTAGCTTAATATAAAGAGTGAGAACATTTGTGTGCTATTATGTTAAAAGTTTAAGGCCAAAAGAGAAAATAAAAATATATATGTAAAAGAAAAAAAAAAACAGTTTTTAGTTTGTTATTTTGGGGAAAACTAATTTAGGAAATATGAAATCCTGACAAATTAGGGAAGAAACAAAAAGTGTTTGATAATTATAAACATACATGAGAATAACACATGATCAGATACACTGAATAAAACATTAAACAAAACATGAGATTAATATTTAATGATTGCTTGATTGATAATTTATAGGATTCAGACTAAATAAATACATTTGTTACAATTCTTAGCAGTGAACTAGTGCTGAGCAGCTGTCTAGTTTGGGTCATTATAAACCCAATGTATCAGGATCAGCTCTGTGAGGTGCTGGCAGACATCTTTAACACCTCACTTACCCTGGAGACAGTTCCCACCTGCCTGAAGACTGCCACCATCATCCCAGTCCCAAAAAGCTCTACAGTGACTGGTCTGAATGACTATCGGCCAGTGGCCCTCACCCCGATAGTCGCTAAATGCTTCGAAAAACTGGTCATGACTCACATCAAAACAACCATCAACATCAACGAGGACCCTCATCAGTACGCATACCGTGAGAACCGATCAACAGAGGATGCAATCTCCTCTGTGGTCCACACTGCGCTCAACCACCTGGAGCAGAAAAACTCTTACGTCCGTATGCTCTTTGTGGACTTCACATCCGCCTTCAACACCATGATCCCCCAAACCCTGATGGACAAACTATCCACACTAGGACTAAGCCCCTCCATCTGCAACTGGGTACTAGACTTTTTAACAAACAGACCACAGTTAGTGAGGATCCACAACCTCTCCTCCTCCACCATAACCCTCAGCACTGGCTCTCCTCAGGGATGTGTGTTGAGCCCCCTCCTGTTTACTCTGCTCACGTATGATTGTGCAGCTACCCATCCAGGCTGTCACATTGTAAAGTTTGCAGATGATACAGCGGTGGTGGGATGCATCACAAACAATGATGAGTCCAGCTACAGGCAAGAGGTGGAACACCTGGAGAGCTGGTGCAAAGAGAATAACCTTCACATCAATGTGAAGAAGACAAAGGAGATGATTGTGGACTTCAGAAGGAACAAAAACATCTACACCCCCCTGAACATAAGAGGATCTGCGGTGGAAGTGGTCTCCAGCTACAAGTACTTGGGTGTACACATGAATGACAACCTCAGCTGGAGCAACAACACCACCAGCCTGATCAAGAAAGCTCATCAGAGACTCTACTTCCTCAGACGGCTGAGGCGAGCTGGTCTGGGAAGCTCAGTCCTCACCTCCTTCTACAGGTGTGCAGTGGAGAGCATCCTGTGCTCGAGCATCAATGTGTGGCATGGAGGCTGCACAGCTGCAGAAAGAAAAGCTTTGCAGAGAGTGGTGAAGGCTGCACAGAAATCTGTTGGAATCAGTCTCCCCACCATCACAGACATCTACACCTCCAGATGCAGGAAGAGGGCCACCTGCATCATGAAGGACCCCACCCACCCAGCACACACACTTTTTGCCCCACTCCCCTCAGGAAGGAGGTTAAGGAGCATTAAGTGTAGAACCACTAGACTGAGGAACAGCTTCTACCCTGAGGCTGTTAGACTCATGAATCTCTAACTAGAATAATCACTGTGAAAAACCATATCATGTTGCTGCTGATCTGTTTCATGTTGCTGCTGATCTGTTTCAATGTTGATGTGTTCATGCGTGCACATCTGCTCACAGACTCATGTTCATGTTTGTGCTGATGTTCAATGTTTTATGTTATGAGTGCTTAGTGTATATTTAGTTGATGTTTTTCTTAGTTCATATCTTAGATGTTATTACTGTTTTTCTTATACATTTTATTGTTGGATGTAACTGGGACCCTGTGTACATAATTTCGCTCCACCACATGTACCACATGAGGTGCGAATGACAATAAAGAAACTCTGACTCTGATTATATTGCAGGGGTCACAAATATGTGTACAACACCAAGCCATCAGCCCCGCGTCCGGGCACTTGTCCCCCTTTTTTAATAGTTAAATTTAAAGTTAATTTCTCGTCATTGAGGCTCCACCCGGGCCGCACACACGCGCAGACTGTTTATAAACGGAGCTGAACTCCGCCCCGGCAACACCTCCAGCTGATGTCCTGCTCGGTGCGCTGCGTGTTTTGGATTGTTGTGAAGGGGAGTCCGCGGCCATCTTGAATGAGCGCCGCTCGGATCGCGCGCTAGCTAACATTAGCACCTCGGTCAGATTAACTACAATCTCTATCGCTGACCGCCGCGGCTATGCCCCATTTACGTCGATTTATTTGATCAGTCGACGCCTTGAGTGCGTGGAAATGGGTAGAGACTGCGTTAAGAGTTGGCCGTGATAATTTAGGAGAGGGCGGAGGCGTTGCAGATCCACGGGTGTATTTTTAAATTTCTGGATAGAGGAGTTACTATGAATGGAGGATAAATGTTGCCGAAGGCTGACAGCAGCAGTTTCGTCCTCTTCTCCCTTCTCTTCGTCCTCACGCTAACGGACCCGCCACGGACAGGTAAACAGTTTATCATTTAGTTTTTGTTTATTTCTCCTTCCCTGTGACTGTATATTCCCGTGGGCTCGGAGTGGGAGAAACGGATTGGAGCTGGAAGCAACGGGCTACATGTCAGGCGGGGAGGCCTCTCGGACCGACCGGGGACTCGAGTGGCTCCTCTAACCGTGTTCCGGCCTCTCTTGACCGCCCTCGTTGTGTGCGCTCTGCAGATGTATTTTCTCAAAAGTCGGCCAAATAAAGCAGCCAGGCTGTAACATTTAATATAGGTAAATCACTTTTAAATTATTACATAAATTGCCACAGATACCCACAGCTGTTTATTCAGCTAACTTTGACGATTTTATTTAATCGTATTGAGGAGTTATCCCATAAAGCCCTAACGTGAATGCATTATTTGTTTATCCCCCTCGCTGTACTTTTAAATGCATGTCCTGCTTCACCAAACCTGACCAACACAACCAAACCTTTACACTCACTAACTAAAAGATAAACTATTCGTCATAACAGTTTTTTTTGTTTTTTTTGCTAAGCTGAAAACTAGAAATTCAATGCCAACCAAAGATAAGAGATACACCCTAAAAACAAACAGAAACAAACTTGCATGCACATATTCTGCTCATAAAACAAAAATAATCATATTTACTTTTAGCCCTGTGCTGGAATGATAGCATTTGCACTGCTTAGATATGCAGCAGTTTCATGCATCAAACCATAAAAGTTTAGGATCATTACAGGACTTGTATTTGTCCTTTAGAATGAATGCCTTTTGATATATATATACATTTTTAAATGCTGCAGGAGTACAAATGCATCTTGTGGTTTCTTCCAGGAACTGGTGCTGTGATCCTGCCAATTGAGTGGATTAGAGAAACTGTTACTAGTTCGGCTCATGGATAAACGCATTATTGTTGGGCTCTAACTAGAGAACCGACCTCTTGCCTAGACGACAAATAACACACGCATACACTAAACACACAGATTTTGTTGATGCATGATTCTGTGGCAATTGCTATTTGGGAGATTAATTTGCAGCCAGCCTCAATGTGTTATAAATTCAGTTTGAAACTGAGCTGAATGTGAGTCGGCTTGTTTGTTTGTATAATTTGGATGAGTAATGTTAAAGTGAAGGTCATCGTTTTACACACATTAAACTTCACTGCATGTTTTTGAAACTGCTGCTGGTTGGGTGATGATTTTTGCTCTTGCTATGTACAGAAGTGTGTGCGTTTTTAAATATTTTCATTTGACAGGGATCTCAACACTTTCACAAGCCGTGTTCCAGTTGGTTAATCACATTACAAACATTATTTGGACCTTCTCTTATTTCGACAGACCTCTATTTTGGAGCAGAAACATTTTCAGAAACTTGTGATTTAATTTTACTGACTTAAAATCATTTTTTGTGGCTGTATCACATTTGCAATACCGCACAAAGTGTGGCATCATATGACAAGTGTAAGCAGACAGAAGATTTGGTCAAAAACACATGACGAAGCTCTCAAGAGGCTCAGTGGTTCAGTGACTGCTCCCGTGATACGGAGAGGATTTTTTTTGCATTAAACTTTAGATTACCAGAATGCTTGTTAGATTACCAGAATGCTTGCAAAGTCACATTTCTGTGGGGACAGTGGTGAGTTTTCAGTTTCAGTCTTCATCTTCTACACCAATTATGGATCAAATCAAGACTGTTTCATTGTCCCCAGAGGAAAACAAATGTCTTTATAGAGGAGCTACGTTTTTAATTATTCCCTCATTGGTACATGGACACATGATGATGGTGGTTCTACTTCCCATTTTAAGTGTTTAAATATGTTGCATCAGAAGTGAAACCGCGACGATTATCTAGTTCAACAAAAAGGAATAACTTCTTGTTAGACTATTAAAAATACCACAAAGCTGCACGCAATATTTTCCGATCTGAAACCCTTTTTTACTTTGAGTAGTCATTGAACGAAATTGACAGCAGTGCTTTGAAAAACGGTGTGGAGAACAATGTTGGGTTTAAATGTAAGGCGGCACAGAAAGAAAATGATTGTCTGAACCCGCTCACTGCTTTTAACAGCAAACCTCAGCGATGAATCATCAGAGGCAGGAGACGGTGCAGCGTCTGCACAAGGTCGCTTCGCTGTAACTTCAGTTGAACCGAGTTGGGATGTCCTCTTGGGCTTTATTGTATTTTTCTCTCCGTTATATAAGAGATACAGAGGCACACTTGGGTTTTTTTTCTGTTTTGTTAGCGTAGTCCGTGTAAACTGTGGATCCAAGTGAGCGAAACAAGTTTAGTAAGAATATCTTTTATTCTGTTTGCCTCTGCTAATGAACGGTTTGTTCAAGCAGGGGGTCTCAGGTTTGGTTTTATTGTACTTGGCACTTCCACTAGAAAACCAGATTTGTATTTTCTGAATGAAAGCTTGATTTATTTATTTATTTTTAGTAAAGATCTCGAGTCTCTGCTTGAATTCGGATAAAAGCTAAAATATCTTTTGGAAAAACCAGAGCCTTTTTCTCTTTGCGACACAAGATTTATTTATTTATTTGAAGAAAATGGGACAAGGAGGACACGTTTTGAGAAGGGAGAAATGAAGCGGAAAATCACAATTTGGGACACATGACCCCAGCTGAAGAGCTGGCTTTATACAAGAAACCTTTGTCACATTTTGGAAATACAAAAGGGTTCACACCTTTCTTAAAGCCTCCAACTAAAATGCTGCTTTCTGGTGCAATGATGGTTAAACGTCCTGAAAGAGCTGGTGTAAATTCATTGTTCATTAAAGGGACCCTCTGTCGACCCCACTTGCAATGGCATAAAAAATAAAAATTATTAGATGCAGTCCTTACTTCATTCACAACATTCTGGCATGGCTGGACAAGTGACAGAAGAGAGGATTGTAGCATCAAAGTTCACGCTCAATAATCCAGGTAAATAAATCCAACAAAGTTCAGTCGGGTCATGGATGAGGTTAGGTGAGGATGTTCAAGTTGACAATAGAAATCGTTGAAAGGTTAGGATTTATGAGTTTTAGAAGCTTGAACAATCAAGTTATTGTACAACCAGAGAAAAATGTGTTAATATTGGACAACAGAAGAATAGAAAAACAATTTTAATTGACTCTTGGCGGAGAAACATTGTTACAGCAACTGAGATTAATATTTAAGAAAATACTGTAAGGAAAAATGTACAAAGCGGATAAATCTATTCCTCAAGAATCAAAACTATTATCAAATAACGGTCATTTTTATTGTATGTTTTATTGTTTTTAACAGTTTTTTAATTTTTTTAATAAAAAATATCTAGGGACAAGTATCACAAATTGGCATTTTCTATTAAAACAATATAAAAATGTAATTAATCAGTTTTTATTACCGGTATTGTATTTTTTGTATTTCAAGGTTCTTTATTGTCATTCGCATCACGTGTGGTATGAGGTGGAACGAAATTATGTACACAGGGTCCCAGTAACGTCCAATAACAGCAAAAATATAAATTGTAAAAAGAAACTGTAATAAGGATCTAAGATGTAAACAAACAAATGTGCTAAACTAAGAAATACGCTAAACACAAAAGTGCAAAACAATACGCCAAACAGCAGCACGAACATGAGTCTGTGTGAGTAGATGATAATGAATACAGCAGCATGAGATCAGCAACATGGATAATCAGCAGCACATAGTGGTATTGCAGTTTTTTTTTTTTCAGTGATAATCTTAATTAGGGATTTATGAGTCTAACAGCTTCATGGTAGAAGCTGTTCCTCAGTCTAGTGGTTCTGCATTTAATGCTCTGCAACCTTATGCCTGAGGGGAGCAGGGCAAAAAGTGTGTGTGCTGAGTGAGTGGGGTCCTTCATGATGCAGGCGGCCTTCTTCCTGCATCTAGAGGTGTAGATGTCTGTGATGGTGGGGAGGCTGACTCCAGCAGACTTCTGTGCAGCCTTCACCACTCTCTGCAAAGCTTTTCTTTCTGCAGCTGTGCAGCCTCCATGCCACACATTGATGCTGGAGCACAGGATGCTCTCCACTGCACACCTGTAGAAGGAGGTGAGGACTGAGCTTCCCAGACCAGCTCGTCTCAGCCGCCTGAGGAAGTAGAGTCTCTGATGAGCTTTCTTGATCAGGCTGGTGGTGTTGTTGCTCCAGCTGAGGTTGTTATTCATGTGTACACCCAAGTACTTATCGCTAGAGACCACTTCCACCACAGATCCTCCTATGTTCAGGGGGGTAGGTGTGTTTGTTTTGTCTGAAATCCATGACCATTTGTCCCCAATTAAATAACCAGTAGTGATGGTGAAACTAAACCCCGTTCCTTGGGTAATTACTCGGCCATGCACGCTTTGCTGCATTTGTTGTCAGTGCGTTTTTTCAGCTTCGTTCCAGCTTTAACAACAATCGAAACAAGTGTTCAGGTTTGGACTGTGATTATTTCAGATGGTTTGTTCACAGGTGAAAAAAAAAAAGCAAAGCCTTGAAACAGCCCAGAGCTTTTCTGTAATTTTTTTATTTTCTAAATTTGTCAAGCGAGTGGATGATCCAACCCTTCTGATCAGTAGGATAGTTACTCTATTGTTTTTATTTGTTTCAGGTCCGAGGCTAGCTCTGGCAAGATTATTGTCAGGTAAGCAAGACGTTTGTTTTATTAGTGTAGTTTATTTATATTTTTATTTATTTGTTAAAATAGACTACCAGCTTGAATACCCCCAGTTAAAGTAATCTGTTCCCATTAGTACAACTTGAAGTTGATATTTTCACAACGAGAGATTTCTCAGAAGAGGAGCCTGAAAATTCAGGAAGTTGAGTTCCTATAATAGTTTTTAAGTTCCTATTATGCCAAATAAGACATTTTTTAAATCTAAAAACAAGGAGAGTTCTGTTTTTTTTGCTGGCTGATAGCTCTGTTTTTTCTGTCTTTTAATGAAGGCTCATTTCAGTTAGTTTTTATCAAATATAGTTCAGTACAAATGGACAAACTGGCATGGATGGGTCATATCATATGAGCCCAAGGCTAGTTTTTAAAATTATTTTATTTTTTTACCCAATTCTCTCTAAAACTCCTAACTTAATGACAAGTTAATAGTGCTGTTTTATCTCCAGTGGCTTGATCTTTTGGCGAAACGATGAATTACAAACTGCATCAACATCCAGCTCCAAACAGAAGCAGTTGCTCGCAGATGAGATTAGACTTGTCTGCAGATTTGCGACAGACAAAATGTTCCCTCTGTGGGTTTTTTTTATTTTTTATTTTTTGCATCTGTAGCAGAAATCTGAAGCAGCTGCTGACTGAATAAGTTTAGATTTTTTTTTTTTTCTTGGCTGTTCCTGTTTGTTAAATGAGTGAGAAGACAGAATGACTGGAAGTGTGTGAATATGTTTTAACTCTTTTACACTCTAATGTCCACTGGCTTTTGATTTGCTTTGTCCAACCTACATTATTTCAGTGTGTTTATGTGCCTCAGATTTCCCCTTTATTTAAAGCGCACATGTTCGCTCATGTGTGTAAAGGTCTAAACAACGCACGCTTTTGACCGCTCCATCCGTCTTGTTGTATTTCAGAGCAGCGCTGCAACCCTGGGCAGTTCGCCTGTCGCAGTGGGAAGATGCAATGTATCCCCATATCCTGGCAGTGTGATGGCTGGACAGCATGTGAGGACAAAAGTGACGAGATGGACTGTCCCTGTAAGTATGATGCACGTCAGTGCTTTTACACCCGCTCTGCTGTCTAACAGTTAACTCTTGGATTTCTGGAGAGAAAAGCAACACATGCAACCTTTTTTAAAATGGGTTTCTGACCATTACTTAGCATAGATGCTAACTTAAAACGCTGAAAAAGCTAGCACAGTTAGCATTGTGTTTACTAGGAATTCATACATAGATCAAAGTCACTAAAGAGAGTCATATATGATTTATACAGCTAATTACAGACGTCTATTTAAGGTTTAGCAAAGAAAAGAAACAAAATATGTTAAACGTGTAGCTTTACTGCGGCATGCTTTTATTCTAGGAAGCTACGGTAACCCTACTAGGACACACGGCACCACACAGCAATTGCTCTGTATTTAACATCTTCAATAATCGTTCAAACACGCATAAACAACTAGACCAGCAGATTCAATATACCAAACACTACAGGTGCAGTTTTAAGAACTATTTCCCCTCATCCACCACAGCCAATCAAGAGAACCACCGCCCTTCAGAACAACGGCATCAGACGGCAGGAGGTTAAATTCTGTCTCTGTTTTTGTTTACAGTCTGTTGATCTCCTTAACACTGGATGGATGTCTCTGTGCTAAGCCTTTTGACCAAAATCCTCTTGTTTTCTCCTCATATCCATGAGAATTATCCCCAGATCTCTGGTTGCCTAATGGGAATTACTGAAAGGATTGAGTACAACAGCATGTGACCTCCAAACAGGAGTCGCTGTCTATGATTTGAGTTGTAGACCTACATCAGATTATGGCCTGGACTTGATTCATTCATCAAAAAGACGACATTTATTGAACAGGAAACGGACTGATCAAGATGACCTTCCCCCTTTTATTAACAGTCAAACAGCACAGGTGTTTTAATAAATAATCTCATTAGTCATAAACTCAAAAGAATAAACAAAGCTTAAAAATACCTCTTTTAAATAGCTCAATCAATTAATTAAACAGAATTCATGAAAGCTTTTGTTTGGGATTTTTTTTTGGTTGAATTATACAGAAAAGTGGAGCAGTCTGTTCCAGTAATACTGGAGGAACAAACCTGTAAACTTTATCATCTTAACAGGAAAGCAGTAACTACCCAGTTACTGGTGAAGTAAAACCAAGAAGAGCTCTGTTAGGTTTGCCGTGTGCTTGACAGGCAGGCAGAACATTTACTGCCAGGGGAGGAAAACAACAACAACAACTTCAGGAGCAATCCTACTGTAGCTCAGAAACTGATGGGAAGCTGTCACAGGTGAAGAGACGCTAAACTGATTTGTGTACAACGCTGGCAGCTCTCAGTCCTGCAGAGTGAGACGACGATCCAGTTAAAATAATCCAGGCTCAAGTTGCACCTAATATATGGAGGCTGGACCTTCTCTCTTGTCTCTCCTGTTGGCTTTTGGAGCATCTGCAGAGCTTTGACAAAAACTAACAGAGAAATGCATTTATGTTCATAGCCACAATGGGAAAACAAAAGGAATGGTGATAACAAGAGTCAGAATTAACTTCTTGCATTTGATTAAAAACTTGTCGCTCATTGGAGGTCATTTATCAAGTCACAAATAAATAGACAACAAACTGGACTAATATCCGTCTTGGCTCCAGCTACATGTGTAAACTTTATTAATTGAAAGGACAATACTCCTTTTGAAAATCAAGCATGAACCTGTGTGGATTTTCTTAAAGCCTTAATAACCATCGAAATATGAGTTGTTTTTTTTGTTTTTTTTTCCCCAACATTTTTGATCATAAGTTTTTGTATCTGTGCATCAACGATAAAAATAATAATTAAATACACTTCATTCACTACCAAAAGTCTGATGCATAATTTGTAATAAATTAGCCAAATCAGCAGAGTTGTGTTTCGTTGCCAACAATTAAATGATGTTCGTGTACATTCAAAAAATGACAAGTATGCTTCGGATGTGACGGATATTGAGTCGGTAAATTAATCCCCGGATGTAAAAGTTGAAAGTTGAAGCTCTTCTTTCTTCTGGGGGAAAAAGGGCGACTAACGGGTGTAAGGAGGACGACACAATTGGCTGATTGATGGATGAGCCATGGGTTGTTTATTTACAGTAAATTATTTTAAATTATTTTTGCACCATGTGTGCAGCCCACAAGTGCAGGGGAAGCTCCCTCCTGCAGTTGATCAGCTGATCTCCTTTTCTGCATGCACATTTCTCCTGCTGCAGCTTTGTGAAGGGTTAACCCCTTGCTGTCCAGATGCACCGATCGACTTTTGTCTTCTAACTTGAAATTCAAAGTAGGTCACATCGTAAAAATCATCATAATCGCAAAATATAGAAGTGTTAAAAGTTATTTTTAATTATTTTAGAACATCTATGCTCAGTTGTTTCAGTGTAATTGATCAAGAATTCCAGTTTTTCACTTATCGCAGGTGGGCGTGGTCCCTAACACCCGCGATAAACGAGGGACTACTGTACTTGTTAAACTTGACGAGTTGTTTTGATTTATAGCTTTAAGTACATTTTTGCATCTAAGGATGTTTTATTTAGTGGGAATAAGAGTAGGGATGCACTTGGATTGTATAACATAATTTTGGCCATTTCCTTTATTACTTTTAACCTTCGTCTGTTTTCTGACTTTAGTGAAAATATTATTGTTGGGTTCGTAGGTTCAGCAGAGTCTTATGAACTATTTGAACATTAGAAGCTGTTCATTGTAGGAAATGTCAGGGTGCTTCCCTCCATCCAGACTTTTGTCATGAAGCAATGAATCATAATGCCAGTGCATCGTGTGCATGTGTTTGCAGCTGTAAAGGAGGAGCGGTTTCGTTTCGGGAACGGATACGACCAGGTAGAAGACGTCATGGGCGTGGCTCAGCCCATGCGCTTCAACAGTAAGCTGCTCGCTTCGCCCTCAGCCGATCGTGGATACAGCTTCACCCAAAGCATCCGTCAAACGTTTCCCTCCCTGTCCTCAGAAAAATGTCCCAGCGGGTGGCACCACTACGAGAAGACAGCCAGCTGCTACAAGGTGTACCTGAGGAACGAGGACTACTGGCAGGCCGTGGACACGTGTCAGAAGGTCAACGGCTCTTTGGCTACTTTTGTGACCAACGAGGAGCTGCAGTTCATCCTGAAGATCGAGGTGGATTTCAATGACGATGTCTGTGAGCGCAGAGACCAGTGCACGTAAGTTTCTGCTTTACAGTTTGCTCTTTTTATCCGCTCTTCACTCGGCACAGAGCTCACGCTTCCACTTAAATTTACTGAAGATAAAAGAAGCTGTCGAGAAAAAGGGCACCAAGTTTTATTTGTGGCTGTCTAAACCAAATCTTTTTTTATTTGTCCTCCAGTTATTTTGGTTTTTATTATAAATAAATGTAATCAACTGTATGAAAGTATGTGGTCTGATTTTGGTCTCAGTCCATCTAGTGGTAGAAACTGGTTATTTCGCACACTGGAAGTTTTCTGTTTCTTTCAGGTTCTGGGTGGGTTATCAGTACGTGATCACCAATCAGAGCCACACTTTACAGGGTCGCTGGGAGGTCGCCTACAAAGGTAATACAATGGTTGTCTTTCCAGAAGTCTAGTCTTGTCCGTGCTTTCTAACTCAAGCGTTTTCCAAATGCACTTGTGCATTTTTAGTAGAATCAGTGTCTGGCAATTCGATTCAGATTTTTGGTGTCGCGATTCGATTCAAAATCGATTTTTTTCGATTCGGAAACTATTTTTCTATTTAACTGGTCATAAATTTTGTTTCAATTATGTAACTGACGAGATGAAAAGGTTAAACAACAATGTAAAGAAATGGAACATTTATTTATTTAAAACAATAATTTTAGGTTCTTTACTGTATCAAATCATTTTATATTTATACCAAATACAGGAGTGCATACAATTCTGTAACTTACATTACCAGTGTTAGGTTAGCTTAGTTGCCTTGACTTTTCTAAAATAAATAAAATCTAGGAACAAATAATTCATCCATCATCTTTACCCACTTCTTCCTTTACGGGTCACTGGTATCACTGGTGCCCATATCCAGCCATCACTGTGCGAGAGGCGGGGGACACCTGGACAGAAATGATTCAAAATATATAAATACAAAATTAAACTGACTTCAGTCTACCATAGTATATTAACCTTTAACTCAACGTTAAATACAGACTTCACAGTTATTTTTAACCATATTTCTCTTAACATTTGTTATATTTTCAAAACTTAACCTAATATGAAATATACAGACGTCACAGTGTTAACCATATTGATTCATATTTGGTAAATCTTTAACAAAATTTCCAAACCTGCACAAAAACTTCTGAACTGTAATGTATAAACCAAACGATATCATTTAGAACTGGCTCCAGTCGATGCGTCTCATCTGGCCTCTTCAAACTGTTTAAAAAGACAAATTACATCAAGTTTTTTTTTTGTATAACTTGTTTTAGTACAATAGAAAAAACTGTTACCTTTGAGCTGCAGCTGGTAGCATCAGCTTCTCCCACGTTATTCTTTGATTCGTGGCGGCGTTGTGGCGCAGCTTTATCACTAAAAACTCTACGTACGTCGGGTCCAGCATATTAAAAATAAACCTAAACCCCTCGCCTTCCACTGAGCTGTCTGCTCGTAAATCTTTGTGATGTAGCGATCGATGTAGTAGCAAATCTTCACAGCCTTTGGGGAATTAGCTGGAAGTTTCCTGTCACTGGTCTGCTGCTTATCTTTTCATCTTCCTTCTGCGCATTTTGTCGTATTTCCAAAATACTGTACCACAATTTTATTTTACACTTTTTGCAAACAACCATGCTCTTGTTAAGCTCCGTCTTCTCCCGAAACTTTGTAGAATCCGAAATGATTTTTAAAAGACGAAGGAGCGGGTTGAATCGCGCTGTCCCTCTGCTCCATTATAAAGGGAGCTGGCTAACTAGCTTGCTGTACGGTGGCCTACATGGCCAAATTCTACGGCGGCCGAGCAGACGCGTAATGCAATATGCAGTAGGCTCGGGAGTAGGAGCGGAACAAAATAAAACTCAAACGCATTTTAAAATGGATTTATGGGCCTTTAGAATCGATTCATAATCACCAGGACTATGAATCTAGATTCTTTAATAAATACAATTTTTTCTGCACCGCTAATTTTTACGTTTCTTAATAGGGTCCATGCAGGTGTTTATGCCACCCGAAAGCCTCACAAAGATGGGGGAGACCTCGTCTCAGGACAACGTCTTCTGCGCTCAGCTGCAGCGCTTTCAGCTCAAGAACATGAACGATCGAGGCCTGCACAGCTGGCACGCTGAGAACTGCTACAAAAAGTTCCCGTTCCTGTGCAAGAGGAGTGCGTGCTCATTTTAAACCCTCGCACAAACACACGCCTGCTGTGGACTGTTTTCGTTTATTTACTTTTAATTACCTCCACAGGGCAAACCTGCGTGGACATAAAAGACAACGTCGTGAACGAGGGCTACTACTTCACCCCGAAAGGAGACGACCCGTGTCTGAGCTGCACGTGTCACGACGGCGAGCCGGAGATGTGCGTGGCGGCGCTGTGCGAGCGGCCGCAGGGCTGCCAGCACTTTCGAAAGGATCCCAAAGAGTGCTGCAAGTTCACCTGCCTGGATCCAGGTGCTGATAAAGAGAGGCGCTTATCTTTAACTTTAAACGTGTAATATTTGGTCAAGTCGTCTTACGTTGAGTCGCTCATCAAATACACATGAAGTGTTCTCTGAACAGAGTGTTGCATCGTGAGTGGTAAAATTAAATGTTTTACAATTTGTTTCTGCAATCCAAAGTAGGAAATGTGTACCGTATTTTCTGGTGTGCGAGTCGCAGTGTTTTTATATAGATTTGTCAGTCCTGCGACTTGTATACATTTTTTTTTTTTCATATTCATAAAGCAATATTTGACTGACTCTTTAAATTTCGAAGAACTGCAACAGCGAGTCTTCCCGTGCACGCTCGCTTCACTCAGCTGGTGCAGGTGGAGGGACGCTGGAGAGCTCACGGCTCCTGCCACGATGGATGGATGGATGGATGGATGGATGGCACACAGGCGAAATGCAGCTGTTTTGACCATTAAATAAACATAATAATAAATGTGACTTATACATGTTTTTTTTCCACTTCATGAGGTTTTTTTTTGACTGATGCGACTTATACGCCAGGAAATGTGGCACTTTTCTTAACATGAACTCAAAATATGATGCCATGTGTGATTTTCCTCCCCCCCAGACGGAAACGGTCTGTTTGACTCGATGGCGAGCGGGATGAGACTGATCGTCAGCTGCATCTCGTCCTTCCTCATCCTCTCTCTGCTGCTCTTCATGGTCCACAGACTTCGCCAGAGAAGACGCGAACGCATCGAGACGCTAATCGGAGGCAACTGTGAGTCCGAGTCGTGTTAAACGAGTCTCAGCTCGTTCATAACGAATGCAGCTCGCGGTTTGAGGCGACCGCGCTCCTAATAAACGGGTTTGTTTGCAGTGCATCACTTTAACCTCGGAAGACGAGTCCCGGGCTTTGACTACGGCCCAGATGCTTTCGGTACCGGCCTCACGCCCCTGCATTTGTCTGACGATGGAGAAGGAGGCGTTTTTCATTTCCAGGAGCCGCCACCTCCATACGCAGCCTACAAATACCCTGACATCCACCACCCAGACGACCCCCCTCCTCCGTACGAAGCTTCCATCAACCCAGACAGCCTCCTCTACGTGGACTTTGGTAGGTGCACGTTTTATTTGAATCTCATCACAAGGAGCGTTGAGCTCTAAACAGTCCTGGTTTTTGTTGTCTCTTCCAGGACACGGCGGAGTCTCCGTGGTGCCGAGCCAGATAAACGCCACGGGAGACGGGCTCCAGGCTGGTGTTCCCACCGGCTCCTGTCCCGTGCCAGATTCAGTGCCGTCCTCTCAGGAGCGAGAAGACTCCATAGATAGCAGCACCCTGCTGGTGGGGCCTGACACGCCAACAGATGGCCACGCCCCCACTCCTATGCCCACAGACTGCGCCTCCTCCCTCAGCACGGTGGTATAGGATTGCAGGCGGACCGCTGGGAGCTGCATCCGGATATTTCCCGCTGGCTCAGGAAAGTCAGAAGTGTGTTCTGCACCAGGAGAGGATGCAACAAACTGACGTTGACTGCAGGGAGGAGACTTCACGTTTGTACAGACGTTTCAAAAAAAGAGAAGCAGCCACTTTTTTTGAGGATGCTGTTCTTTGTCAAGACACCTGTTTTTCAAAGTGTTGGTTTTTTTGGTAAATGCTGGCATCTGTGGGAGCAAAAAAAAAAAAAAACGACTGATCGTGTACAAAGAGGAGACACACCCCTGTCAGGATGAGACTTGAAAACAAACTGATAAACGGCCTGACTGGATAAAAAAATAAAAACGATCCCTGCTGTAAATTCTGGAGTGAAACCCCGTGAGTTTCTGTCCAACACAGGGAGAGAACAGTGACCGCAGCTTTCGTTGCTCGTGCGCTTTTTCTTGTTTGGCGTCACACTTTTTAAAGGGATGCGTCTGAACGAACCTGCAGGCTTCGTCTGCTGCTGCATGACCCGCACCCTGACCTCCGTTTGCTCATGAAAACCTCCCCTCAAACTTTTACCATCCGACACACAAACTCCGTCTTCCACATTTCTAGTTCGTATTTGCAGGAGAAAACATTTAGTAGTTCAGAATCCAGCCTGGTGGGAACAAATGCTTTTTGTTGGTGTTGCTGATAATCATGAGCTCCGTTTCATTAAATTATGAATTTCTGATGATGATTGATTTCTATTTGGATGCTTGAAGCGATTAAGACTTTTTCAAGCGTCAAAGTTTCTTGACGACGTCCTGTCTTTGAGTTGGGTAAAACAAATCGGTTTGTTATAAATGGCCGTCTCTATCATCAGTAACGATTCAAACAAAGCATTTCTTATTGACGGGACGTTTTTCCTACTGAACAGTTCTGTACAGTCATGAGTTCATTAAATATGAAAGGTAAAAATCATCAGTGGTCACATTTTGGATGCCGCCCCTTCATGCCCGGTGCGCCGGCACGAGCCAGTCGTTTTTCCACACACCAATTTTTTTATTTGTTCTTGTTTTGGCTTTTAACTATTTTTACTCTTTGACAGATGTGTATTAAAAACAAAGTGATATGTGTATTAAGAAACGGGAAGACGACAATCGTTGGATGGATTTTTATAAAGTTTGGGGCTGTTTTTAGGCGGATGAGGCTCCTCCACCAGCATCCAAACAAACGCTCGTTGTCTGACCCTCCCACAACAAACAGGCTGTAAATGTGACTGACTGATCTCTTGTTTGAATGTACTGAACGTATATTACATACGTTATTATTTGTGTGTGTGTTTTTCATCTTTAAGCCCATTTCCTTCATTTATTTTAGTCTCTTGAACTTTTTTTTTTTCCCCCTTTGGTAATCCTTTGGATTATCGGGACATAATTGTTTTCATAAGCTGTGCATGTGTGATTCAAATATATATATTTTTTGTTTTATGTACCTTTTTGGTGCGTTTTTTTTTTTTTTGGCGTTTCCCTCATTTGGATGAAAGATTTTGATGATGATGATTTTTTTTAGCTTGACTGTAGGTTTAAAATCTCCCGCACATGCTTCAGTATCTACGAACTGCTGCCATTTATTTACGTTGTAGTTTCTGTGCTCCAACAGTTTGACGGGGGGGGGGGGATTGAAATGTGTTACCTGTAAATCAACTAATGCTACATTTCATTGTCTCTTATTTGATAGCCTTTAAATTAAAAAAGGGGAAAAAATGTAGGTGATCCTGTTTTTCTTTCTGAACTGCATATACATTTAATCCTGAGCATCCTTCGTGACATTTAGCCAATCTGTGTATTTTTTGTTAAAGGGGATTCCTGCTCTTCTGGGACCAAATGTCAAGGGAAAATCCCCCCCAATACTGAGCTCAAAACACCCAATTTTTTTTTTTTTTTTAAGGAAGCGGGTATAATGCACCTCAGAGTGGCTCATAAGGTCGGAGGGGGGAAGTTGGGGAGAGCGATACCCAGCTGGAGAGTGATGTCTGTGGAGAAAAGAGTCTTTGTTTCCACGGGTCGAGTAGTGACAGAATCACTGGACGGAGGAGACGTCAAATCTGACGCCGTCACCAACAGTAAAAACCTGTTTAAGACTAATCTCTAAAGCTTTCATGTGTCCATATAAAAATATTTGTCTTAATCTATTTGAACTATTTTAGATTTTGACCTAAAAGTGGAATATTTTCAGCTTTTTGTTTAAATTTAAAGTGCGTTTACCTTCATTTGAAAGTGCTGTTCAGTGCTGGTTTTCCCAGATGAATGGGTCTTGTTAATAGTCACTGAGCATCTCCGATGGCTGCAGCAGAGAGGGGGGTGTTTGGTGGTGGTGGTGGTGGTGGTGGGAGGGGGGGGTACCGAAGCTGTCCTCGCATCAATGAGCCTGTTGATCAGAAAAGACCACTAGACTGGCAATGACACAGTTCACCGATCAGTCCAGGGGGGCATGAAACTCTGCTTCCACCTTCTTTCACTACTTAAAGCCGGACGCTCCTGCGGAGTTTTTCAGTCTACCTCAGATCCCGACGCTGCTGTTGGAAAACCATGATCTGGACCGCAGCCCTCCTCGTGGTCTTTGTTTCCAGCGCTGAATCAGGTGAGATTAAACAGACAATTAAAACGAATACGTGTTCACATAAAGGTGGAAATAAATGATGTTTGTCTTCCAGAGGACTACTGTTATGATGAGCTACACTGTGGTGAGTTCTTCTTTTAAATTTTTAATTAATTATCCGTTTAGTTGGTTCAGAAATTGTGTAAAATTACAGAAATGATCTAAGATCTTTGTGGTTTTCAGACATTTTGTACCTCGCATACTTCTGGTTCTTTTGTTTTTTGATGTAGTGTGTGGCATGGAGTGGATCAGTCTGTGGAACTGTTCAGGTGTTATGAGCCCAGGTTGCTCTGATAGTGGCTCTTCTGATTGTTGGGTCTGGTGTATCACAGCTTCCTCTTCACAATACACCATAGATTTTTTTATGGGGTTAAGGTCAGGCGATTTTGCTGGTCAATTAAGAACAGGGATACCATGGTCCTTAAACCAGGTACTGGTAGCTTTGGCACTGTGTGCAGGTGCCATGTCCTGTTGGAAAATGAAATCTGCATCTCCATAAAGTTGGTCAGAAGCAGGAAGTGCTCTAAAACTTCCTGGTAGACGGCTGCGTTGACCTTGGACACCACATTTTAGAATGCTTTTTGTTTCACCAATGGTGCAGTTATCCTTATTGCTTGTACACTTTATTTCTACCATCCTTTCTTTTTCTTCACCTCTCTATTAATGTGCTTGGACACAGAGCTCTGTGGACAGCCAGCCTCTTTAGCAATGACCTTTTTGTGTGTTGCCCTCCTTGTGCAAGATGTCAGTAGTCGTCTTTTGGACAACTGTCCAGTCAGCAGTCCTCCCCATGATGAGACTGACAGACCAGGTCTTTGCAGGTGTTTTGAGTTAATTAGCTGATTAGCGTGTGGCACCAGGTGACGTCAATATTGAACCTTTTCATAATATTCTAATTTTCTGAAATACTGAATTCTGGTGTTTTTAATTAGTTGTCAGTTATAATCATTAACATTAAAAAAAATAAACATTTGAAATATATCAATCTGTGTGTAATGAATGAATATAATATATAAGTTTCACTTTTTGAATGGAATTATTGAACTTTTTCATGATATTCTAATTTTATGACCAGCACCTGTATGTCAGGAAAACTGAATTGAAATAAAAAATGGTGACAGACACTTGTATCTAAAGCTTTTTATTTATTTATTTATTTATTTATTGCCTGATTACCCGTTTTTGTCGTCTCATAAATTATTATTAATAATTCTGACCTGAGCCGTGTCTGTTTCCTGTTTCTTCTCCGCCGTCAGATCCGTACGCCTGGGGAGAATCATTTCCTTTGTGCCACCCTTTACTTGAACTCCATCACTCGCCCATCAACCTGGACCACCGCATGACCCGGAACGACTCCCTGGGGCCCCTACGCCTGGAGGGATTCGACGAGATCCAAACGGGTCACTGGACACTCGAAAACGACGGACACTCCGGTGAATGCACGCTGCCGACACGCCCGTGGGAGAATTTTGTGTTTTACGTTGACGTGTCTGTTGCTGCTCCCAGTTATTCTGCAGGTCGGCAGCGGCATGGCGGTGAGCGGCGGGGGTCTTCCAGATGTGTACTACACCGTCCAGCTGCACTTCCACTGGGGAGGCCCGGCCACCAACGGCTCCGAGCACACGGTGGACGGACGCAGATACCCGATGGAGGTACAGTACGGTCAGTAGGCAGCTCTGCAGTCTCATCAAGACGCTTCAGCGAACAGTCGCGGTGCAGCCGTCCATTAACGTCTCTATTTCTAAAAATGTCCCCCCAGATGCACATCGTCAACATGAAGTCCATCCATCCGAACATGTCCACGGCGTTGGACGACCCAACAGGACTCGCTGTTCTTGGCTTCTTTATAGATGTTGGTGAAAACATTTAGCTTTTTCTTTTAATTAGCTGCTCTTTACTGATTTGGGCTGTTTTTGCAGGTTGTTTATGCCGACAATGTCCACTTTGGACACATATCTCAAAAACTGTCTTCTGTTGCTCACAAAGGTCAGACTGCTCGAATTAGATCCAGTCTTTACGTTACCTGAAACAATCCACTCATGGCTCTACGTCCCTTCCTGCAGGTCAGAAGACTAAAGTGAAACCGTTTCCTCTGATGAGTCTTCTGCCGAAGCACAACATGAGTCAGTATTACCGTTATTACGGCAGCCTCACCACCCCTCCATGTTCTCAAGCCGTTGTTTGGACTTTATATGAGGTTCCCTTCTACATCTCATGGTCCCAAGTACGTCTCTTTACAGGCTTTTAATTTAAAAGCCCCTTTCTGAAACAGTTGTGTAAAATGTAAATACGTGCACACGATGGAACATAGTAAACATGAAATGTTTAAACCAGCGGTTCCCAACACTGGTCCTTGAGGAACACCGTCCTGCATGATTTTAGTTGCTTCTCTGCTCCAACACACCTGATTTGAATGAACAGGTGGTTAACAGGCTTCTGCAGAACTTGAAGTAATTAAATCACTGAATCAGGTATGTTAAAGCGGAGAACTAAAATATGCAGGATGGTGTTCCTCAAGGACTAGTGTTGGGAACCCAAAGGTAATCTTCCATTTCAGTTCAGCTTATATTTTTGTTTCATGATGCACCAAATGTATTTTACTGGTGTACAGGTCCAGCTCAGCTCCTGAACTCTTCTTCTATGAAGATGTAATGGGTGCAGTAGCAGTTTAGCATCGTCTTAAGACCTTCTCTGAGACGGACGTCGTCTGAATGGGAGCCTATGTTGCTCTTCAACCTGTATTTACTTCTCTTCATTGATGGGGCCTTTCCAGATGTGTAAGCAGCTCATCCCAGAATCACTTATGCACCCCTATATCATCAGCAAGGCAGTCATTTAAACTGTGCACTCCCTTTTAGTATGGAGGATGTTTTAATTTTAAATGAGCTTTGGTTCAGAGAAGAGGGCTCTGGATGGTGTTCACTTAGGGCTTCTTCTTTGCCTGATAGAGCTTTAACCAGCATTAATGGATGGCACGGTGAACTGTGTTTACTGTGGGAGTGTTCCTGAGTCCCTGCAGCGATGTCCAGAACAGATCCAGACCAGTTTTTAATGCAGTGACCCCTGAGGGCCTGAAGGTCACGAACGTCCAACGTGGATGTGTTTACTGTGTTCCATTGTGAATAAACGTTTTATTTTTTTTTTATTTAACACGACTTGTTCAGGGTTGTACATGACCAATGTCAACTTTACTTCTGATTATTTTGAAGAAAAATAAAGGGTTCTTTTCTCCGTCAGCTGGCTCAGTTTACCTCCCAGATCTTCTCCACGGAGGAGGACGCGGAGCAGGTGACGCCTCTGCAGAACAACTTCAGGCACGTCCACCCCACCTTCAGCCGCACCGTCACGGCCTCCAGAGACGCCACGCTCCTCACGGGGACGGCCGCTCAGCCGCTCGGGTCGACGCTGCGTCTGCTCCACATCGTCGTCGTGCTGGGAGGGTTCGTGTTGAGACTTTAGCGTGATGCGTTCAGGGTCATCCTGCAGGGAGTCGTTACGGTTTCCCCTCAGATTCATTCTGCAGGACGTGGAACAAGAACTCTGTTCCCCTTCTCAAGTTAAGGTTTGCATTATGTTTGAAATCTGGTTTCTTTAAAAATGTGCTATTCTTTTGAGTTATACATATATTTTTTACTTGATATTGGATTTTCTTAATGAAAGAACATCTCGATATTTTCTGAACGAAAATCTTTTGTATTTGAACATAAGAGTGAAGGAAATGTCCATAAAGTCAAATATAAGGAATCAAACTGTGAATCACCGACAGACATGGGGTGAAATTAGTTTTATTTGGCAGCCGAATATGAATTTATAACAACTCGCTGCTCGCTCTTGTACAGGTACAATTAATTGGTTGCATTCAAGGGCTTTGTTTGTTTGTTTATTTTTGCTAGATTGTCTGAATAAACTATTTTTAGGTTGGGGAAACTAAAAGTTAAATCCATGGATAAAACATGGCGGCTGTTTTGTAGTTTTTATTTTTTTTATTTTCATGCAGCAATGTTTAATGTTCTTGTCTGCCCCACCTTTTTTTTCCCTTTAAATGTGTTTTTTAATTAAATTTAGATTAAATTTAAATAAACCCTAAAGATACCTAATACTAAAAATTTATATCCAATGTTGCATTTCTTCCAACAAATCTGCATCAGAGATGTGAGATTGGTTCATTCTTTGTGTTTTGCCGTATTTTGGGGATTATAAGGCGCATTAAGCGAAACAAGTCAGATAAGTTAAACTTTATTCAACTCATTCACAATAAACTCATAAAATCAGTTCAAGGTCCTTAAGTACAACCAGAATTAATACATAAGATGCATCTGATTATAAGTCTCACTGTCGATTTTTGAGAAAATTAAAGGATTTCAGGTGCTCCTTATAGTCCGAAAAATACGGTAATTTGAAGTGAAACGAATAAAATAATGGTCAGCTGTGGGCTTTGCGTGTTAAAATCCACATTCTGACCTTATTTTAAATAAAACTGTCATTTTATGTTCTATAATTAAAGTGTCCTGTGTCACACAAAGTGTCTCGTTTTTATTTTGGAATTTGAATAAATTTTCATTTCGTTGAGAAAAATAATATTCAGCAAATTATGAGCTGAACTAAAACGAGCCGATGCATTCAGGTCCATGTGAACGTTTGCTTAAAATAAAACTTAAATAGGGCTGAAATTTTATTAACTGTTGTGGTTAAATGTAAAATAGGTGCTTGGAGACTACAGGCTGGTAAATTTAATTTAAGCACAGTGGTGAACTGATCATGGTCTGGGCTTGTTCTGCACACACACACACACAGGGAATATTTTATTAACACAACAAAAAATGTGTTTGACGTAAATTAAACAAAGCGTTTGACTTGTAAAAGAGCAACTTAAACTTTTGTAACAAACCACAAGAAAAAGTTAAATGTCTCAACTTTCTGTCCAAAAACATCCCTGAAGATCTGCGGAGTTTCACACACATGGTGTGAGCGAACGACCCACGAGTCGAACAGAAACTGGATAATTGATTTAAAATCAGGATAGATTTGGCACCATACTGTTCTAAAACAACGTTAAAAGTCTAATTAATGTAACTTATAACGGTAATAATATAATAACGTTAATGTAAACGATTGTAATGTTTCTATTGAACACTAATAAGATAAAAACATCACCCTGTAGGAGCGGCTGATTAAACCAGATGGTTGAGTTGGAGTTAAGCTGACCAGTCAGTCAGGTGAGCTGGTGTGTGTGTTGATCTATTTGTGTTCAGCAGATAGAGGCGTCACACCATCCTGTCACAACCTCAGGGTGACACACACACACACACACACCAGAATCCTTATTGTCTGGAAACCTGATGACGACATCAAGCTGCATCTTGCTACATCTAAAGAAATGCCCAATAAAAAAAATTGTGTATATATATATCTATATATAGATAGATATAGATGTATAGATATGTATAGATAGATATTGATGGATAGAGATATGGATAGATAATTTTAATTAAAAAATACATTTAAATTTTTGTTCATTCATGGAGAGAAAATCAATTTTTTCAGTAAGAAAAAACACGGATTAATAAAAAGTTACCATTTTTTTACTTAGCTAAAAGTATCAAAAGGCTAGCTAAAAGTAGCAGACCAAAAACTACAAGTAGCTAAAAACTAGCTACAATCAGCAGAACAGTCACTAAAAGTAGCAGTCATAGTAGCAAAAATGGTAGCTAAAAGTAGAAAACAGTCACTAAATGTAGCAACATGACCGCCAAAATAGCAAAACAGTTGCTACAGGTAGCTAAAAGCTAGCTAAAATCAGCAGGTCACTACAAGTAGCAAAATGCTAGTTAAAAGTAGCAAAACAGTTGCTAATAGTAGCAGTTGCTAAAATAGCTCAAAGCTAAAGATAGCGAAAGAATAGCTAAAAGAAAAAGACTAATGAACTAAAAGCTTAAATAAAAAGCCTCAATGCTGAAGCATTTTTCAGAGAACTGTTGTTTTTAAAGGAACACAGAGATTATGTATTTATACAAGGAAAATACTTTTAAGTGAAATACATTTGAAAAGTATGAAAGTTACTAAACGCAGTTATCTCCTGAAGGCGCCGAACGTTAAAACAGTCAAAGTAGCACAAAGTATGTAGATTAAAACTAAAGCGTGACCTCTGACCTGGTGTCCACGCCGTTGACCGGCTGAAAGTCGGTCGGTTTGAGTTTTGTTGTTTTTCACGTGAACCAAAAGATTCAAAGAAAACAGATTTTCTGAAAGTGTTTATCAAAAGGACGACGTAATGCTACAGGTAATAAATTAATTCGACTCCTCCTTGATGTATGCAAAACTTCTTTATTTCAATTTCTTTTCCTCTTTCATACATTTGTCATATAATAAATAGACACGAGAAACAGGCTGACGCTTCAGTCCTCTTTCCATCGCCGACTCTGTACTTTTTTTTTGTTTAATTCTCCACACTGCAAAGAATTCATCATAGAATTTACAAACACAAAGTTTAAAAAACAGAACGAGCTTGACACAAGCCGAATCTCCTGCTACCAGCTCAGCGCTCACCTCATTATGATACATATACGTCTGAGCCGTGTTCAAGTAGCAAATCCCTTGGAACAAAAATATATTCATATATTTATATAGTATTCACAGTTAGACTACTTACACGTTTTAGGATTTCAAAGCAAAAACGAGCAGAAAAATGAAGACGTTTCCACAAGAAACAATCTTTCAAAGAGGGAAGCAGACATGTTTCCTGTACACGGTGGAGCTTTCTTTAAATAAAAAAAAAACTCTCAGTCCAGATTCCTTTCACAGATCCCTGAAAATATTTTAAATATTCAGTCTTTTTGTTTAAAAAAAAAAAAAAATTCATCTTAAAAGTGTGAGGATAAAAAAGGCTTTACATTATAAACATCAGTGGTGACAAAAGCTAAACAAACAAACAAAAAAGTCCAATATTATTTCCATCTGAATGAAAAGTAACCAGAGGTAACTGACCGTGACCCTCGAGAGCCGTTAGTATTTTTACCCTCGTGAATAACAAGAGGTTGTGGCTCCTGAAAACTGCAATAAGTGTTGGGAAAAGATGCGAGTTGGTCACCGTTGGTACGAACAAACGAACAGCGGGAGCGGACAGCGACCTCCCCGGGTTAAACAAAAAGGGTAAACACGATCGTATGGCACTTAAAATGAAAACAATATTCATTTCCTCCAAACTTAGCTCAGGTTAGTTTGTTGCTGCTCAGAGGATGTTAGCAGGACAGGATCAGTTCTGCAACACGGCCAGCAGGGGGCAGTGCACACACGATTCCCTCAATGGTGCTGAGTTATAGTGTCTTTTTTTGTTAAAGAAGCATGAAAATACTGGAACATGATTAATGCAAATGCCACCGATCAGAACAAACATGAAACGGCATGATTGGTTATCAGCTCGTAGAAGTAGAGTCCAGATGTAATTGGGTCCAGTTTGACTCGTTTCCAGGACAGGCGGTGCAGCAGAGGTAGCAGCGAGTCGCTCCGCTGTCCTCCCACCTGCAGCTGGACGGACGCAGAGAGGAGCTGTGCGTCTCAGCGGCGTCAGGAAGCAGCTGAACATGTTTTGTACCACGTTCGGTGTGGATGAAGCTTATGAGACAAATGGGAAAATAAAAGTGTAAAATGGAAACACACACACACCAGGACTAGTTGTGGGAAGTAAGTGTGCTGAAATACTGTCTGATGCTGAGATGTGTGTGTGTGGGGGGGTGGGGGTGGGCTGCACCAGCAAGTCTCTGTTCAAACAAAGGGGGAGGAGCACCATAAATCGTAAACAGTTTAGAGTTTAATACGTGAAGAGTGACGGTCAGGTAGCTTAGCTCGATCCGGAGCGACTTGCCAATTACTTTTTCTTTCTTTAGTTTCCCCTCTTGTCTGTGCGAGTCTGGATCACTCACTCCCAGTTGGGAGTTTTGACCTCCATGCTGGTGTTAATTGAGCGTCCCTCTGCAGTTCTCTGCGCCGCACAAACACGGGATCTTCTCGTCCTCAATGGGGAACTTGTAGTCGTACGTGATCTCCTCGTTGACGTTGATCGGCTGTCTGGAGTAGATCACGATCTTCTTCTGAGACTCCACTGTGATGACTTTCGCATAACAGTTGGGCTGAAAGGAAAAAAAAGAAGTCACATAAAAATAAAATATATCTTTTTTTAATCTTGTGTTTTAGTGTAGCATTAATTCTGGGGCCTTACATTGCAGCTGTGGTTGATGAAACGGGCGAAGTTGCCACACTTGGTAGCATCGATGATGGTGTCGTGGTCCACTCGGAACATGTAGCTGCTGCCGATGCCCTCCTCCTCGTAGCGCTTCTCCCTCATGTCCGCGATCACCTGGAAAACATCGGGTGGTTTTAAACCAACAGAGCGATGCGTTATAATTTAGTTAATTCCAACTCGTTCAGGTTATGTTATTATCTTTTGTTAAAATCTTTTCTCCTGCAAAATATTTATTTTCACTTAGAAGGTCCTTAACTGCGTCTTTAACAGAACATGTTCCTGAAGCCACTTGGATCAACTGGTTAGTTTTTATTTTAGTTCTCGGAGACGGTTGCCGTGTTCCTACATCAGCAACAGAGACGTTTAAGAAAACGTGGCCAAATCTTTTTCACCGTAGACTCTGTCTAACTCAGGGATCTGCAACCTGTTAAATCCAAACACTCATTTCTACCGTTCACTTACTCAACAAAATGTGTCTCGAGCCGCAACACCCGCTACAACGGTCATTTTCAACTAGTGGCTCATGGGCCACTTCAAATTTGTATGAAGGTGGGGGTGACTTTATAAAACAAAAATCACAAAATAAATTTTAACATTTATTTATATTTTTTACATTTTAGGGCTAAAGAAAAGACCATTCATGTAAACGAGGGGAAAAACATATATTTCACATTAATTTTACTAAAACAAATTTAACTCTGAACTCTGCAGGTTTATGTGTCTTCTTTGTAATTTTTGAAAAATAAAAATAATTATGTATCCCGCTTTAAAGTACGAGTAACCGGAAGTTGGATAAATGACGTAGCTACAAGCTAATCAACATTAATTTCTCTAAGTTAATTTAAACATTTGCAGAGAAGCTGCTAAAACTTACAATTTCTCTTTACAGCTGGTATAAAAACCAATGAAATGACATTTTGCATTATGTTTGGTCAAAGCTTCAAGGAGCCGCAGACCAAGGATCAAAGAGACGCAGGTTGCAGACCCCTGGGCTAGCTGCATAAAGATGCACAGATATTATTTATAACATGCGAAAAAAAGCAGACGAGGGTCCTTGTGATGTTCTAAACCTCGTGAATCTTGGAACATCTAAAAAACATTCAAGTCTATAGTGCAGCCAGACTTTAATAAACACAAAATGAATGAGGGAACAAAAACAAAGGATGTAGAAAATTCTGCAGAAACAAAGCAGTAAAACGCTCCTCACCTGTCTGATGTTCTGTCCCACGTACTCGATCACCATTTCGTCAGCAGCGATGGGCTCCATGGCAAAAAGACCCCAGTCGTGGATGTGCGATTTGCAGAATCTGATCTTTTTCTTGCGGAACTGTAACGAGGTGAAAACAGCGTCAGTAAATGTCACAGAAATGTTGATAACTTTGTACAGTTGATCATTCAAACAGCCTTCTTGTATATTAAGAACCAGTTGCTTGAGTTTATCCACCTTCAGCTGGTTGAACTTCAGCAGGTCGCTGTCGCAGTCGAAGGAGGACAGCAGGCGCCGCTGCTCTGATCGCCGCTCCGAGCCAGCTCTGGTGGAGGCGTGGACCTGTGCGGGAATACTCATGCCCTGCGGAGAGAAGGCGAGACCTTCACTCACAACACGAGTTACCACCTTGGAGCGTGTTGTTTGTGTTTGATCAAACAGTAATTCGGGCACCGTGACCTCCACCCACCTGTGTGTCGACCGGCGGCTCCTCCGACTGCAGCCGCGAGCTCTGCAGGTACTTGATCTTATCCTTCTTGTCGATTTTGTAGTATCCCTCACTTCGCGCGCAGCCCGTTGCGTGATCCCTGATGCCGTCTTCTTTCCTCTTTTTCTTCACTCTGGGGATGTTGGTAGGTGCAGGGAAGTCAAGGAAGTTCAATTCAAACCAACAGTTCCAGACTTGAACCAGCAGAGGGAGCTCCGCGTTGATTCATTATTTTTCTGTCTGTAACTTTATTTTAAAAATGAATGTTTAAACATGTTTTTCCCACTACTTGGAGTAAAAAAAGTAACATTTTAAACAATAAGGATATGAGGATGGTTGACCCAGAGCGTGTCGTTGAGCCAGTCGTTGCCGATGTCCTGCTGCAGCATCTTGTCATACGTGATCTGCAGGAGTCGGATGTCCTCCTCGTCTATTCCTTCATTCCAGATGTCATACAGGATGGTCATCTCCTCAAACTCGGAGCGCGGGCTGAAATATGCCCGGGGCGGTGTGGTGACGGGGGACAGGCTGTCCAGGAGCAGCTCCTCCCAGCTTCGCCTTGTCCTCCGAGTAGGCTTAAAAACCACTGGCGCCTCCTTTTTATAGGAGATGAAGCCGTCGGCAGGAGGTAACAGTGTTTGAGGCTCGTCTTCTCCTTCCCGGAAGTCCAGGCTGGAGTGTTTGGGTGCCTTGACAGACGTCTTTTGAATGGATAGATCTCCCAGAAGGGTTTCCTGCGGCAGATCCGAGTCCTCTAAAGACTCATCTGCTGAAGAAACAGCTGAAAGTTTTTTGGGTCGGCTGGGCTTTTTCTTTGATGGGGAGGTGTCTGAAAGCCCAGGAATGTCTGCTGCGAGTTTAGCGTGGAGGTCTTCAGGTATGGTGGCCGAGTCCTCTGTGGCGGCTGACAGGACTTGGTTAGGCAGAGCAGTGACCGGCGGCTCCTTAAAAACTGCTCCTTCCTCAAGGCTCTTCCTATTTAGCCTGAGTGCTGCAGGGTCAGGGAAGACAGGGGTGAACGTTAAGTCTCTTCCTGGAGTACGTGGGACACCTGCGCTAAGGACGGGGGACTGTGAGGGGTAGGAAAAGGGGCTACCAGGGATGTGAGGAGAGCTGAGCAACAGGCTGCTTCCTGTCAAAGGACCGTCGCTGCCGGGCGTGTTGGGCACGGTGTCGGTGCTCTGAGATTTGCCCAGGCTCCGGGCGCGCTCCATCAGGTCCCTGCCCGGCGTCCGAGGGATGTCCTCGTCCGTGGGGAGCCTCGGCCGCTGAGGAAAGTCAGGGAGGGAACCAGGGGGAGGGTGGAGGAGGGAACGACCTTCTGCTGTCGGGTGAGGAGGGAGGGGAAGGTGCATTAAGGATGTGGAGACGGATTTTGAGGCAGGTGCCTTTAGATGGGATGGGACTAACACGGGAGGGGTGCAGGGGACTTCTTCAGGCTCTGTTTTACCTTTGGGTTTCGTTTCCTGGTCGCTGTCTGGCAGGGCCCCTGTGGGAGTGGGGGGCCGGAGGTTTGTTACGTACTCCTGAGGTTCAGGTTTGAGTGAAGTGATGCTTCCATCAACCCGAGTCTTTTCCTCTTTAACTAAAACAAAAAGATAAGTATATTATATACTAATATTTTATTAGTTTTATTACTTGTGTTTGCTGTAAAAAAAAAAAAACTGGGTGCTGGCTATTACCTGGAACACCTTTAGGCGACAACGGCTTCCGGTCCTCCTCCACCGGACTGGGAGGTCTATGTTTGGATTTGATACTCAGCTCCTCCTTCTTGACCGGTACTGCGAGAGGACTCGGTGGTTTACTCTCTACCTCCTTGTCCGCCTCATCGGAGGATGAAGTTGTGGATGAGGATGAGGATGACGAAGAGGTCACTGCTTCTTTGCCATCCATCTCATCATCTGCTACTGCCTCTTCTTCTTCCTCGTCTTCCTCCTCAGAGCTTAACTCGTACTCAGAGTCTGAGCTCTCCACCGAGGAGTCGGAGCTCTCTGTTGAAGAGTCGGAGCTGACCTTAGAGGAAGCCGAGCTCTCAGCTTCTGCAAGAAATGAGGCAACAGGCATGAAGAACGTCAGGAAACGAGAGGAACCAACAAGACGCCGCTGTCGGATATAAGGTACCGTCATCAGATGAATCAGAGGATGCACTGTCACTGGATGAGTCTTTATCGTCTTCATCTCGTTCTTCGTTGTCGCTCTCCTATGAGATGATCCGATAGGTTATTAATAAAAACATAATAAATAACTTCTGCATCTTCTTTGCTACAGCCAGGTGTGTTCTTTTATAGGTCTAACCTTGACTGACGACAGCCTGTCTATTTCCTTCTTTTCACCAGGCTCTTCTTCCTCCCTCTCAGACTCTTCCTCCTCTTCCTTCTCTGAGGTGTCCATCTCCTCTTCTCCCTCACTGTCCAATTCGAGCGGTCGCGAGTGCCGTCGCTTTGCGGACGCACTGTCGCCATCCATTTTGGACTCGCCAGAGTGGAGCTCAGCTGGGTCTCGATCTCGTTCTGACGAAAAATTAACACCAGAAAAAACACAACCTTTACAAGAAAAATAAAAAAGGTCCACTTATAAAGTTTGTAAACCCAGCAGAAAGTTACCTTCATCCTCCAGCTCGTCATCGACTGGGGTGGACGGCCGGGCTCGTTTGTTGTCGCCTACAGCTGCGGCCTCAGGTGGGTCTTTCCTTTTAACCTGAGAGCCCATAAACATCTCAACACGGTGCAGACATACCTCGCTGTACTGCAGTTAAAGAGAAAATGTGGTTTCAAAGTTTCTTACCTTAAAGGAAGGCAATCGGATCGCTCCTCGTAAACCGATTCCTAGACCCATTCCTTCGAAGCCGAGCCCTTCACCCTTGTTCCAGTTCTCGAGCAGACTGGAAGCCAGCGTCTCTTTAGGTTTGGGCTTTTCTTCTTCTTTTCCCTCAGCACCCTTCACTGGAGTCAGGGATGTCTTGGTAAGGAAACAAAAATAGATTCAAATGCTGAGTTATTAAACACCGTCACTGCACTGAAAATTAAAAAGACGTTTTTTTGACAAACACAGTAGGGTCCAAATGTTAAGGCAAATAATTACAGCAGTACACATTTTAAAATGTGTAGTAAATAAAACATCAAGACACGGCGCAAAACTCTTCAGGATTGCGTCAGCACACCAAAATAAAATAAAACAAAAAAAAGCATCAAACATTTTGACAACCAGAAACAACAAAAAAGTAAAACGCTACAACATTATTAAAATAATTTACCACCTTTTTCTGCAATATTTGCATTTACATAAACAACAAGCGGAGTGAGATCAGATCAATCCTTTGTGGCGCTCGTCACAATGACAGGCGTCACACCATCAAGTCAAAACTCCTGGCTGTGGATGCAAGCTGGACCACAGCGACGCAAATCAGCAACAACTACAGAAAAAGGACACCACCTGCAGAAAGCTTTTATATAGTCCAAATTTAAACCTTGATGCATCTAAGGTTGGGCAGCACGGTGGCGCAACTGGTAGAGCTGCTGCCTCTCAGCGAGAAGGTCCTTGGTTCAAACCCCGGTCCAGGGGCCTTTCTGGGTGGAGTTTGCATGTTCTCTCCGTGCATGCGTGGGTTTTCTCCGGGTGCTCCGGTTTCCTCCCACAGACCAAAAACATGCATGTTAGGCTGATTGGTAACTCTAAATTGTCCCTAGGTGTGAGTGAGAGAGTAAATGGTTGTTTGTCTCGTTTGTCTCCATGTGGCCCTGTGATGGACTTGCGACCCGTCCAGGGTGTACCCCGCCCCTCGCACAGTGATTGCTGGACATGGGCACCAGCGACCCCCGTGACCCAAAATGGAATAAACGGGTAAAGATAATGGATGGATGGCATCTAAGGTTGACATATACATTTGTTATACGCTAATAAACATGCTGCTGTTTGGCGTATTGTTTTTATGCAACTAGTGTATTTTTAGTTCATGTTTTTCTTAGTTCATATATTTAGATCTTATTACTGTTTTTCTTTTACATTTTATACTTTTGTTGGATGTAACTGGGACCCTGTTTACATAATTTCGTTTCACCACATGTGGAACGACAACTAAAGAAACTGACTCTGATCAACTTGATTTGTTTCATTTAGTCTTATGAAATGTCTTACCTTTGCTGAATGTTCCTTCTTTTCCCACCACTCATCGAAAGCCCTAAAAGCCACCACCTCGACCATTTTGCGATTGAGGTCCCTCTTCATGATGGCCTTCAGCTCTTTGACGATGACCAGCAGCACGCCGTCAACAGTGGCTTTGTGAGGATTCTCTTTCTTCGTATCGTACCCCGGAGGAGGAACAGTGGGGTTGAACGTTGGTAAACTAGGATGGTTCCACTCATGCCCAGGTGCTCCTGTGCTACAGGCGGGTGTAGCGTCCATAGAAAGTTGTGTGTAGTGTCCCATGAAAGGCCCTGATTGGCAACCGTCTATGAAATGGGGATACTGATAGGGCCCTCTGGTCTGAGCCATGCGGCTCAGCATCTGCTGCTGCATCTGGAAGGACATGGGAACTGTGCTCCACCGTTCCCATGGCACACAGTTCATCAGGCCCATCAGCTGAATCATGCTCGGGGCGTAGGGACTCATGGGAGGCAGCATATGGTGATGAACACCAGGGTGGCCAGCCAGGTGAGCAGGGTGTCCAGACATGGCAGAGTGAGGGTCCAGGTGGTGGTGAGACATGGCAAAGCCAGCTTGTAGGGGGTGGTACCCGGCAGCATGCATGGACATGGTCTGCATTTGGGACACATCATCATTTACCATGTCACAATCTCCGCTGGTGATTGGAGCGGCGGGCATCTCGTCATCAGAGATTTCCATGTCTTCTCCTGACGACTGATGACCCTGGTCGAAAAGAGACAACTTGTCAAGACGACGCATAATCTGCATAATCATCAGGCCTTTTTATACATCCCAGCCATCTGAGCAGATGTAATTTATAATCAAGGTCTCCGAGATCAGGTCAGAGGATCACAAACAAAAAGCTACATTTCTTTATCTGTCTTTAACACAAAACAATTTCTAAAGTTGAAGTTGTCATATGTCATATTTAAGCAACTATAAAATATCTACTTAAAACTTTTTTGATCACGAATGACTGATTTCACTCTGTATCAAAACTACTGAAATATGCTCCTTCAAAATAAAAGCCTCCAGAGCTGATCAGTTTAAAGTTTAAAATACTCCTTAGCACAGTCAAACACAACTGACCTGTGGTTCTGGTCTGTACTCTGTATGTTTCCAACTAGAACAATGTGTTCATATCACTAAAAGTCACAGCGGGAACTACAAATACAACATTTAAACACCAATCGTTTATGTCAATGATCTGACTTCTGCTGTAGTTAAATATTACAAAAGTATCTGTGACAACTGTTGCAGAGATGAAAGTAAACTGACTCAACTTGCTAGGGGAGTGGCCTTGTTACCCAAATGACCTGTTTGCTTTGTTTGCTTTGTGATAACTTGAAATATGAGCTCGGAGAGGCAATCCTGACTGTCAGTCTGCTAAAACCAGGAAGTGCGGTGCTGAATGGGGCCAACAGCCAAACTGTGTTTTCCTCTGTGTGTGAACAAGTGCAATGAGAGTTAGAAAGAGGAAACAAGGCACTTTGTTCCCTTAAATGCAGAATGGCTCCTATTTCTCCGTTCAAAACACACAAGTAAAATGTAGAAACACAAACTAACCAGCCGGACAGTGCTTCTGTAACAAAAAATACTTGAAAGGCAGCAAATTAGGCATATAAAAGTTTGAATTAATAACTTGTAGAGAGCTGCTACCTGCGCTTATGAAGTTTTAATAACAATTCAACAAGACAACTAGATTCACGACTCGACAACAGTTAACTGAAAGAACAAACATTTTTAGGCATGAAGCACGTGTTGATGTAAAACCAGAATTTTCTTTGCAAGGCAGAACAAAAACAATGACACAAAAGGCTTCACTACAACCATCGCACCGGAACTAGACCTGACTTCCTGTGTCCCTAACTGTCATTCACACCTGCACACACAAACGTCCAATGCCCCCATCAACTATCTGAGACTTTAAATAAGAGCAGGTTGCAGTGACGGTGCTGATTCTTGTAAAATGCATCAGGCAGTTTTTTATTCTTACCGTGTCGGTTTTATCCGGGGGAGTGTGGCCTCGAAAAGAGCCCTCTTTGAGGATACTTTTGCTCTTCTCGTGAACAGGAGAACTGACTCTTCTGATCAATGAGGCTGTTCCAGGAACGGGGTCTTCGTCGTCCGAGTCTGGCAGTGGAGTTGGGCTGATATCCTCCAAACCTGTGCTGGGGGGACGGGAATTCTGTTGACCGCCTTGCGAGCCGCTTGTGTAGGGTGGGATTGGGGATAGCTGAGAGGACGAGGAGGAAATAGGACTTCCCTCCATTCGCACCTCATTGTCCGAGTCCCGCTCGTCCAGGAAGGGCAGCAGTTTTGTCCTTTTTTCCTTGAGGAGCATCTCGATGCGGGAATCCAGGCTGTTGCGCTCTGAATCGAGCACCGGGGAGCCCGGCGAGGGGCAGCCCTCCGGTGTTTGAGGAGGAGGGGTGGATGGATGTGGAAGAGGTTCTGGTGGCGGCTCTGGGATTGGGGGAGTTTCTGGTCTATCTGTGATTGGCAAAAAGTCTGTGGGGGCTGCCAGCGGAGGCTGCGGCGGTCGGAGGTACTCGCCCTCCCTTTGGGCCGGGTGATGGAAAGGGGGCTCGGATGGAGGAAAGGCGGGAGGCAAAGGAGTCTGGTATGGCGAGAAGGCAGACTTGAAGTTTGGTGTAGCAGGAGGAGGTGCGGTGTAGCTGAAGGAAGGGGTGGAAGGTGGAGGTTCAGGTGGGGTGAGCTGGTGCTGTCTTGGAGTTTGTTCAGACGTACTTCGATACAGGTTGCTGCGATACTGAGGCCTCTCTGGTCTGCGGTTATACGCGTCTTGGAACTTACTCTCGTGTCTACGAGACTTGTAGCCTCCGGAGCTCTCGGGACGGCTCGACTGATACGCAGGCGTGGACTGCCGGCTGGAGTAACTGGAGTCCTGAGAGAAGGGCGTACCCGGCTGGCGTGGGGTATGAGGGGTTCCCTGGGACTGGGGGGTGTCTTGCCTCAGGCTGGAGTAGCCTGTCTCCAGGCTGAGGGGAGTGGTAGAGCTGCTGGGGGGCAAAGCTCCAGCCATAGAGGATATGTTGCCCTCGGACAGCCTGCGGATGGGCTCGCAGGCCTGACGAGAGGCAAACAAGATGGAGGTCAGTCAATATGACAACAAAACCATGTACAGCAACCAAACCTTAAAAACTCTTATAGTTTCGAACAATAAAACCACTGTATTAAACCCTAATGTTTTTTTTCTCAGATGACTAAAGACATTCTATTCAAAACGATATTTAAATATCAGCCGGGGGGGTGTTAAATATCTAAGTGGGCACATCTGAGGCTGTGAAGCCAAGAAGAAAGATTCATTGGCTTTAAGAGTTTAAACCATGTCAAGAGTCTGCTGGATAACATCTCCCAACACTACACCGAGGTAATAGTGGATTCATCTTAGATCAACAAAGTAATGCTATAAAAACAACAAAACAATAAGCAGTTCTCCAAAACGACTGCACAAACTGGCACTAAATGACTGCTGACACAATTTAGAGTGATTACAAAAAAAAAGAAGAAGAAAATTAAAATCATATTGCAATTTGTAAATGTTTTATTTTTTTATTTTTTTACCAGTAATGCCTCCGTCAGGCTCCGAGGGGAAACCTCTCGGGTCTCCTCTCCACCAACAGGCAGCGTCCATGGAGTGTAGCTGCCATTCATCAGGAGCTGCAAGTACCTGAGGCGATTCTCACCTGCAGAGCAGTAAATATGAATGGATCAGCGCTTCAAAAAGCAATCTAAACACTGAAAGACTATTAAATTATTATAACAAAACTTTTTTCAGGGATAGCTGAACATCAAAAACAACAGGAGATGTTATAGCTTTCTTGATTAGAGGTATTAATTGCAATGTCGTGACGACTGACCCAAGAAATAATCATAAAGAAATAAGATCTGCATTTTGTTTGTCATATTGATGTGCGTCTTTAAATGAAAAAAAAATGTAAAAGCCAATTTTGTGAATGGCTGCCAACTGCCACGTGTGTTTGTTTACCTACAGAGACAGCTAGAGTTACCAAAAATAGATCGACAACTGAATGGAAGAGCCAAGTGGGATTGAGAAGAGCTGTTAATTTTGATGTACTGGTCTGTATTTCGCTCAGATTTGTTGAGTATACAGATAAAAAGATAGGTTAGGTTAAACAATAAATGTATCAATGTAGAAAGAAGTTTTGCAAAAGCTGCATGTGTTTGTATTGTGCTCTGTCTGCCCTGCTTGATATCTGATATTTATTTTTGACAGTTGTCTTAATGTGTCTTTTTACACAATTAGCAGCAGATGCACCTTTATATTTCCATCTAAACGTCTTCTACTTGAGACACTCTGCTCGTGTGATTTCACTGTAATTGTTTACCTACACAGATTACAGGTCAGCCTAATGGAGGTCAATCAAGTGTCCCCAGCTTTGACCAGGTGCTTTGTTTAAATTGTGTTTAATATCTTGAAAACTACTAAATTAAATGACTTCAAAACTACTGCACCAAATTCAGTTGACATTTTTATGGTTAAATTTTATAGTTCGCAAAGAGTACCTTTAATGTGGCAATCTAACATTGTGAGAAGTGCATCGACAGAGACCAAAACATGTCTCCATATTGTACAAAATATTTCATAAACGGTGACACTAATTCACAAGTAGTTTTCGTGCAAACAATAAAACACTACAAGCGGTGCTTAAAATCTATTAAAATATTTCTGACATGATTAAATCAGAACTGATCCAAAAAATAGAACATTATAATACTTTGATTTTTTTTTTTTACAAACCACTAAAGCTGATATTTTGCATCTATCAAGAGCCAGTCACTGACTGCAAAAACTCATCACTGTTTAATGTTTCCAGAAAAAAAGTGTCTGAACTGAAACAAAGTGGGGTAGAGAGGGCTGTGATAGATTGGTTTGTGTTTGTTTGCAGGTCTGAAATTATGCACAGTGGGAGTACACAGCACCCTCAGCTCTGAGCTTGTGGGAACAGGCTCATTTTCAATGAAATTCAATTATCCCGTTTCTAAGCAACACACGTAAATTTAACCACGTGACTGCTGTCACCCTGAGAACCCAAAACATGCAAAAGAAACACACTTTAATCTCTTCTTTAAAATAAATAAATACAAAGACCTACAGCCCTGCATTAACAACAAACCCAGGCTGTGACTACAGGCAGTCTGAGCGTCTTCACTCTGAATGAATGAATGAATCACTGTTTACCTTTTGGGTCCAGCTCCACGTGGATGATGTTTCCCATCACAGACGTGTTGTGCAGCGACTGAACAGCCACCTTGGCGGACTTGACGTTCTCGAAAACAACCTTGGCTATTCCCAGGTGCTTTTTGTTCTTCGGGTTGTACAGGATCTCAACCTCCTCGATGTCTCCAAATTTCTTGCACATGTCCGTGAGAAACCCTTCCCTGATGTTGTCGTTGAGCCTAGCAAAGGTCACCTCCTTTGGGGGCACTGGGCCCACGTAGCACTCATCGATCTGGGAGAAGAATGACAGGAGTTAGTGTTAAGTGCCGCCGGGTTAATGATGCACCATGCGGGGTTAAGCTCTAACAGTCGAGATAAGAATAGTGGTGGAGAAGTTGCAATGTTTAAGCACTCGATCCACAAATCTGGAAGTGTGCATCTGAGCAGGTCCTCCGACTTTAAACTTCACATCCCAAAGATGACAGGGAGGGGGGTGTGTCTGCAACTTCTGACAGCATCTCCTTCCCTCATGGAGAAAAGCCACATCTGTCACAGTAGATACCTTAAATTTAGGCACCGGCAGGTCTATCTCTTTGTACTTGGTCCAGAGACGACCGATCCTCGGATCTCGGACGATGTCCACCGGTGGTATCCCGGGGTTCTGTGGAAGCAAAGAGACGCGGGAAGAGAAACACAATCCTGTTATCCATCCCATCCGCAAGTTCACACACACTCCTAACTTGTTGCGAAGTAGTCCCGCTCAAAGCGGAGGTGTTTAATCAAAACGAAGCACCTCCGACAACGGGGCTTGGATGCCCGTGCACAGCCAGGGCGACACTGAACGCATCATGGAGGTCGGCTACTCGGTTACTATTGTAGCCGTTCGTGAAAAGGCGGCACTTACTGGCATGCTAAAAGTCTGCCCATCGTAGCGATACAGCTTGTGAGATCCCCTCTTTAGCGCCGGGTCGATTATCAACTTGTAACTTCTCCAGTGGTGACTCCGCTTCTCCGCCGAGCCGCAGACGGGATGACTGTCCATGCCGTTCGCCAGACCTGAAACGACAGCCAGGAGAGCGACGGAGCTAGCGTTAAACACGGTCCCCGAGCCTCCGACACTTTCCAACAAGCTGGAAATGCATGACTTTGGTGGTGAGAGCGGGGTGGAGGGGACCCTAGGAAAGCGAAAATTAGATCGTATATCCCACTCACGGAAAACAGGAGAGCTGGAGCAAAGAGGAGAAAAAAAAACAGAACAAGCTTACTTGAACTCTGCTTTCTGCCATGGTCTTCGTTCAATCTGTTCCTCTCCCCCGGCTTGGACATGGTTCGTCCGATCGACTGCGTTTTTAATTGATGAAAAGATTAAATCGCTTTCCTTTCGCCGCGCACATTACATGGTTTAGCTTGAAGAATACTGCCTCCTTTTCGGCGAGAGCCAGCACATATTGTGTGCCTCTCTGGTCTCTAGCTGCTGTCTCTCCCACAATACACCGCTAGGCTTGCCCACCCCGCGTACTCGTCGCACTTTCGTTACAAAAGTTGTTTCTAATTTAACAAAAAGTACTCCTCGTATGTATTGGAAATATTTTTTTAAAGAGCTCTAATAGCGACTTTTTCAACCAAATTAATTATTTAAGACCCGGTGGCGGCTTATTGAATATAATCCTCTGAACGTGTGGAATCTGCTGACTGCATTTACCTGAACGGCAAACAAGATCGAGGGGAGCAATATCTTATTAACCACCTCTGACGGCTAATAAAGCTGATTCGGTCGAGGTTTTATGTAGGGCGACGTGCTGGTGCGGGTTTTAAAATAACGCTAAGATGCCAAATAGATCGTATCTGCTAAATTAAACAATAACAATTTGACTGAAATGAGGAATTCGGCGTTAAACGTTGCGGTCTATTTGACGTCCAGAACTGTAGGAATGCGGAGGTTTGTGTCTTTCTCTGTCAGTCGGTCGCAGTCAGATCAACGCACCCGCGACGACTCCTGGAGTTTAATATTTTTCGTCATTTTTTTATTTTATTTTTATAAACCTAGCTCTCTTTTTTTAATTGTTTTCGACTGAGTGCTTGTTGTCGAGCAAACTGGGTTTTGTTTGACATTGCCTGTTGTTTTCGCAGTGCTCAGGCAATTGGCTGGTTAACAGCGGCAGCTCGGCGGACCAATCAGAGCGCAGCAGCGGTTGGATCCGTCCGCTATTAGAGGCACGGCTCAGGAGCCCTTCAACAGAGAGCAGGGAGAGGGGGCCGAGTGCTCTCAGCAGCCATTTTCCTTAAACAGGACTTAATGGCCTATATGGGTTTCCTTTGTTCCAAAAAGGGATCTTTACACTTGATTTCCTCATCTCTTACGGACTATGATAAAACTATGATTGCTTCCTTTAAAGGATGGAGAAGATGGAAGAGAATGTGCTGGATGTGATGCTCTGATATTTTGAGCCTTTTTTTTTTTCTCTCTGCCTGGAATCCATCTTTGTCTTAACTAGGTCATGGCACACCCATATATAGCATTTATACTCTTAAGTGAAAAGAAACCAAAATGTGAATAAACAGGTTTTTTTTTGTTTTTGTTTTTTAACAATTCTGGAGATGTAAATGATTGAAATAACAAAACATTGCACTTGTGGCCTTGTAGGGAATGAGTTGCAATGAGTAAGTTCCAATTCTTTTTCATAACATTTTTTTAATATATAATGTGAAATGTAAGGCATGCAGTTACTGTCATTCAAAAGTATATTCTGTCAATTTATCTTTTTTTATAAATGTAGTCACTATCTTTTCACTGCATGTTGACATAAATATAAAGATTTTACACAGGTGTAAAGCAGGCCATGGATAACTAATGACCTTTTCTATAATAATTTAGTGCTTTTTTCCACTTTTTGTTCCTCTGATTAATGACTCTAAACACTTCCTCTCACAACAGCAAGATGGCTTGTCTCGTACCCTGTCCTGCAACTGTGGAGACAACATCAAGCACGATTAGGTTCGTCCTGTCCACTCGCCATTAACTTGTCCAAAGTGGAAAGCCTGACCTTGCCTCAAGGGTATATTTAAATATCTTTAGGAGACCCCTTTTTAAAATCGTTGAACTATTTAAAGCACAAACAGACATCTAAGAGGAAACAGATGGAGGGAAAACTGACATGGTGAGAATATTTACCTCAGCACTTTGTGGAAATGCAGTTAACAGGCCTAAACGCAGGGACAGGACTGTTTTCTGCTCCATCTTCGGATCCTCTAATAATGGCATTACTAAGGGGTGGGTGAGCGTCTCCTGTAAAGGAAGGAATCCATTAGCACGACTGACAGAAATCTCTTTTGAAAAGTTTTTCTCTTTTGATCAGTGGTAGCATTCCCTCTGAGGCAGCGAATATACATCTTCAAGCATCGGTGGGCAAATATGCAAACCATCTCTTCCCTTCTTGAAGACAGGATTGCAGTTGTCCATTTCTGTCAGAGCCACTTCACATAGAACTACATGGAAATGTTTTAAAAGGTAAATAATTTTGAGCTATTTCACTTGTAATTTGCCAGTTTATGTAGGATAGCATTAAGAGAACGCAGGACATTAATGTTTTCAGGGTAAACAAGATTTAAAAAAAAAGAAGCTGCAACCTATATTTTTATGGACATGACAAACTTACAGTTAGTATTGAAAACATGTAATCCAAGTCTTAAACGAGCAAAATTAATCTTATAGGGAGAACATCTTATTTTCACTGCCTCCTTTTAAAAAGTAACCCATCTGTACTTGCTCAATGGCTTCTCTGCAGTTCAGTCTCAAAATGGCTCCTTTGGACAAAGGGAGCACTGTGCTGTAAAATGTTGCTGCGCCATAACTGGGTGAGGCTCCGGAGAGCGCCCTTTTTCAACACAAGTGAATACAATGGGCGTCACGAAAGCGTCGTATGTTTTACAAACAAACGAGGAAAAAAAATGTCGACGGTGCGTGTGGAGGAAGGATGAAACTAATAAACGCGAAGTTGTCGGTTACTGCCGGGGCTGACTCGCCTTGGCAACTGCAGCAATTCGAGTACTATGGACGGTTGCCAAGAGACGGAGAGCTCGAGCGAGCTGCAGCAACCCCCACACTGCCATATAAGGTCAACAGGAATCTGCTGCGGCAAGCTCTTGATGTGTTGTATCTGGGTGAAGGGTGCTCCAGGCTTCTGCGCATGCGCTTTCCGGCTGTAGGAGATAACCGTCGAAACAAATCGACCAATACGGCTTGTGGAAGAAGATGGTGCAAGCAAATATGGCTTGATTCTCTCTTTTTTTTTGTGTGTGTGAAAGAGTTAAAATATAGGTGGGAGGGTCTAATCGCGTAAAAGAAGACCTCAGAGGATATATTGGTGCCTGCCTTTCACGCAGTTCTTTTCGAATGGCAAACAAAATGGCTGTGTCAGAGGCCTGTTTTTGTTCTTTCTTCCTCACACAGCAGAGCTAGCTAGCTAGCTGTTCATCTTCCCAGCCTCAGTGTAATGGTGGTGTTGAATGAGTGACGCTTTGGAAATGAGGGTTTAACTCCACCAGTGAGGTTATGTGCAGACTTTTATTTAGAGGAGAGAGAGTACAAAGCCCCTCCAGGGTGTGTTGCGCCGCTGACAGACTGGAATATTCCACTCAGGGGATTGGCCTCTTCCTCCGCAGGACAGCTGTCTCTCTGCACGGCGTCAAATATTTCAACTATTTGCTCTTTGTTTACTGATATGCGAGTGGACATTCTGTAGGACATTTACATTTTCTTACCTTTTATGTTAATCCTTCGCAATTCACTCTGTAAGTCAAAGCACGTTTGTAATCTTTATTAGACAGGAACCTGTTTTTTTTTTTCCACACCACAGCTCAGGTTATTGATTGGAAATTGAATTTAATCAATTTAAGAATCCTTTTTTTTTTTGTGCTAATTTTCTTTTGTTAAAAACTGGCTTTTTGTAGTGGAAATGTCCCACAGTGTGGCTTGTGATTTAGTCTTTTGCTGTTGGTGAGATGTCTAAATACTGTAATATATTTCTTGTTTTTTCTATTTTTAAATTTATACTAAGTTAGGTTGTAGTCCATATGAAGCCAAATGTGCAGGGAGCAGTTTATAATTTGTGAACAGGCGACAAAAATGTGCACATTTATGTGGTTAAAAAGCTCAATAAAATGCCATCTTGTTCAATTTATCACCTATATCCTGTATTTTTGTTCAGTTTGACTTTGCTGCCTACTTCAGGTTGAATTGCAGCGACTTGGTGACAAAAAAAAAAGCAACAAATGACACAATTTTAATGTATTTTAATCATGCTGACTACACAATCGGAGGCGACATGAATATATGTTGCACTCGTCACAGATTAAAACGCTCACAGATCCTTGGTGATTTGATCCTTTGGCTAATGGAAAATTTCAGGCATCCATAGCAAGTCAGAAGTAAAAAAAAAAACAATCTATGAGGCCAACCCGTCCTAGTTGTCTGGTGTTTTAACAGATCAAAAATCCAACGCGAAGCCTGATAACTTATCTCTTATCCGTCCTGGTGAGACTTGTTTGTTCTAGTGCAAGATGAGCTCCAGCCTTTTTTTTTTTTTTTTTTTTTGCTCTGAGGGATGGGAGGAGAGAATAACTTGTTCTGGAGCTTGACTTTTCCATGTCACGAGTGACGTGAGCAAGAATAAACTTTAATTCTTAAGTTTTAAATCAACAAAACGAGGTCTTAACTCAAAAACATGATGATAAACGCTTAAAAGATTTCCATCGTTTGTCCCATCTTAAAATAGTTTATTCGTTAGGGCAAATGGTTTGAATTTTATAAGGTCTGATCCACACATTCATGATTTGAGAGGAAATCAGGAGTGAGGCCTTTTTGTGTAAAAGCTGCTTCATCCTTTTTTTTTTTTTTTTTGTCCAATTCCCTCCCATTTGTGGAGGCAGTCTCTTCATCGATGCACACACCCAGAAAGAAACGAGCAAACACTTGCAGAGGAGGAAGTAGGTGCAGTCAGACTCTGTAGCTTCATATGTGCACCTCAGCGTGCAGCCTTATGATGGGACAGGAGAGAAGTGTAGGAGGGTGGGGGGGCTCAGCTGGAAACAACGTCAGAATGACAGGAACAGGAAGCGGTGAGCACTGAGGCACCTAAACCATGAGTTCTGCTGCGTTTCTCAGACCTCAGCCATCCCAAATGTTCATTTAGCAGATTTTCACTCGTAAGACTTAAATCTGGAGGCAGCATCTTCTGCCTCGTCCTGCCTGGCCCCTGTTTGACTTTGCTCAGAGGCAGAAAATGACACAAAACGGTGCCGGGCCCGGCCATGGCAACACAAAACAGGGAGAGGAACTTAAAATTGTGATAGTTGGGGACGGAGGCTGCGGGAAAACATCTCTTCTGATGGTTTACGCCAAAGGGGATTTTCCAGAGGTAAGAGGAGCACATATATAAATCTAGACATTAATTTGTGTTGTGAAACAGATGCAAGATTTGGATAATGAGTTCGCAAATAATGTCACAAGACTTAACCATTTTTCTATAAAACATTACATTTTAGTGCCTCCTTAGTGTTTTTATGATGAAAATTTAAAAAAGCTCATCTTTTTCTCGTGTGTCCAAACAGAAATACGCTCCATCAGTGTTTGAAAAGTATGTCAAAACCGTTTCTCTTGGAGGAAAAGAGATTAAACTCAACCTGTACGACACAGCTGGTAAGAAAGAGGGAAAAGCAAAACGCCGCCGTGTTGAATTTGACTCCCAGTGCATCACTTTTCTACAAAAAGAGAAAGAGTCATGCTGATTGGAAAGCAAACATACATTGGTTTAAAATCATAATTTAATTCTGCAGAGTTCAAGTCTTGTTGTTAGAGAACCAACAGACGCAGGGGGAAGTTGAAAAGTTTAACATTCGTGTCAGATCTTTCAGGAACTCATAATTTACAACCCAGACATCACAGAACCAGCCTAATAACACGTTCTCTTCTTTAAAACATGCTAAAAATGAGTCCCGCCCAATATTGTTTTCACAACAGGCTTAGGTGTCGAACTTCATTTCCTCTTCCACTAAAAAGCATCCTTCAATGCAAACGCTCAAAAGCAGATCTGCAGCGTCTAATGAAACATGACATGCATTAAGGTCAGGCTTGAAAACGACCTTCTTTGTTTGGGGTGTTAAACACGTCGGTCCACTTATCTTCTGAACAAGTGCCGCTCCATGAGCAGAGAGGGAAGCTGAAGTCAGGATGTGGTTTCTACGAGTTCACCCGCAGCCTTGTTGCAGTCATTGCATCATTACAATGCATCAGAAAGTGCTTTGTGCAGCAAACGCCTTATCGATCAGGTTTATATACTTCCATGTTTTTGTCTCCGAAGGACAGGACGACTACGACAGACTGCGGCCTCTTTCTTACCAGGAAGCCCATCTGGTTTTAGTCTGTTTCGACGTCACCAACCCCACCAGCTTTGAGAATGTTTCAATAAAGGTACACGCCTGTCCCACGCATTGTGCAGAGTCAAACGTGTTACAAAACCACCCAAGTGGAATTTCTGGTTCGCCTTTCGACGTCGGTAAATGATTGACGAGAGTCTGACACGTTGGCTGCGTTTAAGTCCCGTGTGGCGTGAGACATGCTTGTTGTGATCGTTCAACGGTGCAAGAACAAAAGCAATCAGATAAGTCAATCAAGCCTGGGGAAACCTTTGTTTCTTAAATCTTGTTTATCCAGTGGCATCCAGAGGTGAGGCACTTCTGTGGGGACACGCCGGTGATCCTGATCGGCTGCAAGACTGACCTCAGGAAGGATAAGGAGGGTACGAGGAGGCTGAAGGCCTTGAATCTGGCTCCCATAACCTACATCCAGGTAAGAAAACAGTTGGTGCAGACATTTTCTGCACTGAAACCAAGACACATAAATGCATTTCCTGAAGTTCCCGTGGTAAGAGTCTGGGTGTGTTTGGGTGTAGGGTGAGCAGACCCGGCAGCAGATGAACGCGGAGCTCTACCTCGAGTGCTCGGCTAAATATCAGGAGAACGTGGAAGACGTTTTCCGGGAGGCGACAAAAAGAGCTCTGGCCTTCAGCCGTAAACAGAAGAACCACAAGCGGAAGAAGAAATGTGTTGTTCTGTGAAGATTAAAAAATAAATAAAAAAATAGAAGGACTCTCCGGGTATCCCACTTTAGCCACAAGGCGACTGCTGCTCAGGATCTTCGCTCACATTTGGAGTGGACAGATGTGACCACTGGTCCCAGCCAGGCTTCCTTGAATGACGCAACAGGAAAGACAATTATTCAAGTTGCATACAACTTGAAACTTCTTTGAATGTCACTTTTATTCTTTTTGTAAAACAGTATTTTGCACTGTATGTAAATGACAGCAAGTTGTCCATGGAAAGCATTTATTTATTGGGAGAAAACTGAACTGCTAGTTTGTAAATCTTGAATATGAATTGTTCTGAAGAACAGCTTAAACAAATGGATAAAAGCAGTTCGAGTTGTGGGACTTCAAAATGGTGCAGTAGCTTCAAAAGTATTAAAATAAACTTGGGGAAGTTGTTGATACAGCTACAGCTGGACTCTTAGCTTTGCCAACAGCGCCCCCTAAAGGTGGAGAATTAGCACCCTGGCTGCACATGATCTGAAAATGCACGTTTTATTTGTGACTTTTTACCTTTTCTTTACATTTGTACACAAAGAAAAACTGGCCACTGCCTTGTGTTACTGACCCCCCTCCTATAAAGTCTCCAAACTGATAACGGCTTTATGAAAATGAGGACATTGTGTTGTTTTGTGTTTTCTGGCAGCTTTCATATTGAATGTAACTTTTTCTTTTTTTTGAACATATGCTTCAAAATTCCCTCAATAAACAAAGCAAAGTGTCATGACTCAATGCTACGGTTTTCTAAACGGCTTTTATTCCTCCCCCGATGGGGAATAAGGCAGCGTTTTGGATAAACGTGCATGAAAAAGAAAACTGCAGTGACGGATTTGTTAAATATACAAAGGTTTAATAATAAAGTATACTGGCATGTTGATCAGAATTAGAAAAATAACAGGACTTTAAGCTGTTTTCTTGTTGTCGTCTTACAGTAACTTTGCTACTAGCAGCATTTTAGCGACATCGTGTAACAAAATGGGCACCGTATGCGCAAATTCAAAAAAACGGCAAAAGGTTTAAATACGAATTCGATAAATCATTTCACGGCTTCTCCTTCTTGGACAAGATTAAACTCATCGGTGAGACCCAATTCTCATCGACACACTGGGCAGCGACTGTTGGGGAAACCAAACTGACTTGAAAGCTGTGAGAAAGAACACACATTCAGTGAAGTGCAACCAACAAGGTGTGCAGCCGCACTGTGAGGCGTTAAATTCATCATTTTGTTGTTTTGTTGAAAAGTCACCGCTCATTTTTATGCACAGCTTGCAGAACTATCTGACCGTCATTTCATTGCCTTCCTCCACCCGTGAAATACTTCTTAGTGACAGTGGCTCAATCATTAGTGGAAGCATGCTATTTTTTTAGACGCATCTTCTTATAGTTTTTGACAAGTGTACCAAACAGTTATGGCTTTTTAAACATTCAACCTGACAGGAGAAACACCGCTGGATTCCCTTTTTTGTCCTGGTTTTCTGTCGAACAAAGCTGCCTCCGACTGTAAACACAAGAGAAGTATGATTTGTTTTGTCCCTTACGTCATCTACAAGCGGTCAATTATCAGCGTTTTTAACGTTTGGGACCAAAATCAGTCAACTACTGCACTAACCAGCTTGTAAATAAAATGGCAGCTTGAGAACGACATAAAATTTGGGAAGTTCAAAAGATGAAGCGAACAGGACCCTGAGCAGGTTTGACTGTTACTACTTCACAGAAGTATGCACGCTGCATTAGGTCCTGAAAGGCAAACGATGTTCTGTTCTGCTACTTGTCCTCGTTGAATTGCATATGATTTGAACAAAGGCTCTCTGAAACTCATGCACCGACACGAACACCATTCAACACATTTTCTATACACGGGTTAAAGCAAGAAGCTGCTCATCTGGTGAACATTCACACGGTTTCGCATCGCACGGCAACATCACGTCATCAGAAAGTAAGAGCATGTCTGAAGGAAACTTTGGCTAGACGCCGCTGCTGCATCGACGCCTGAGGGAAGCGGCAGTTTCGGCGTCGCCTCCTCTCGGCCCGATCATTCTGTGGTCAGTACATCAAGCGATTGTGCGTGTTTCATTCATAATCACTGGCCTCCTGAAGTGTCGCAGACAGTTTGAGGTATGTTCAGTCATTCTTTTGCATGTTGTCGCTTCTTAGAACTTTCTGGTGGACGACTTTTAGCGTTGTGAGGAAATTTCCCAGAAAGAGGACGAGGAAAGTCAGCGCCAGCATGAACACCTGAAAACAAAGAAACGTACTTCATTTGGACAAAAACAAAGCTCGGTAATACTTGACATTTATCCCCTTTAATAACATTATAATTAACTGAATTCATAATGTTTTTACTCTTAAATCAAGAGGCAACTTTTACCAAACTTCTATTAAATATTTCTCTGTTTTAGACACTTTAATTTTTTATTTTATATTACCGTATTTTCCGCCCTATAAGTCACATCTGTTCAAATATGTCTAATAAAGTGGAAAAATCAATAAATAAGTTGCTTTGCCGTATAAGTCGCATGTATTATGCGTCACCGCCGATGCGTTGCGTTTGTTGCGCGTCACCACTGACAACCTGGAAACGTGGGCCGGTGTTGTGCCAAAAATCGATTGGCTGCCAAATGGCGTGAGCGTGCACGGGAGGACTTTAACAAGAATTTAACAAGATTAACACTTAAAAACAATTATTTGTTTGCTTGAAATTATAGCAAAGGTGGGTCTCAGTGTAACTTTTGCTTAATAAAACGCACTTTGATGATCAAATCAGCTGCATTTTCAAAACACAATTCGCGGAAGCGCGTGCGCATTTCTTCAAAATTTAACAAGATCACCACCTAAAAACAATTGTTTGCTCGACATTTTAGGAAAGTTGTGTCTAAGTTGAACTTTTACTTAATAAATGCACTTCAATGGTCAAATTAGCTGCATTTCGCCGGGGCGGCGCAGCGAAATGTCCCCATCTGATGACTTTTTTTTTTTTACAAAAGTGTGTCATAACCATGTAACAAAATACAACTTCCTGTTCGAAGAGGAAGTTTTAGCTATAAATCAGGTCCATCTAATCACAAATATCTAGTAGATATGAAAAATGCATCACAAACCAGAGCTTGGGTCTCATGAGGTAAATAGCCACTTTTACCCGTTACATGATACAACGGCATGCCATACAAATCCGAGTGCCATCTAGTGGCTGAAAATGGTAGTGTTCAATATTTTCAGTCAGAATGAATGAAAATGGTCATATCTCAACCAAAAATTGGTTTATAAATATGGGAGAAAATCCATAAATAAGTCGCTTCGGTCTATAAGTAGTAGTGCATGTAAATTATGCAAAAACACTGACTTATAGGCTGAAAAATACGGTATTATATAATTGGTTCTTGACTGTTTGTTTCTTAATTTGTTTGTTTTTCTGCTGTATAGCACTTTGTTTTAATGAAATCTGCTTTATAAGCAAAGTTTGATTGATTACCACGTCATCTTTTCTAACAGCTCTGATTAGGTCTCAAAATAAAAAGTTTCACAGCAGACAGGAAAATGCACAAAAGTTAGATAAGTTTAAACGAAGGAGTTCCGTTTAACATCAGGTTTTTGTGTACCCATCGGTGTGATTCTTACCTGCCACTCCTTACAGTCCTCATGTCGGGCTAAGCGAAACAGGGTCACTGAGTTGTACAGCTGCCAAAACTGCAAACAAAAGAGGAGGAATCAGCTTTCATAATGTCTCTGCACACCACGATGCCATAAAGCTAAATGTTTTAAATTTTCTGCCTTTCCCCATGTACTTATCAAGTAACCATTATATCGTGCTGGTGGTCTCTTCATGACAAATTTACAAATGCAAAATGGAGTTGGAGAAGCCCTGAGTGACACCTGTGACCACTCTGATGGAACTACAAGCTCCAGCAGGTGAGATGGGAGAGACTGAGCATAAAACTGATGCCGGTTCTTCACTAGACTGAGTTTTATGGGAGAGGCAATCAGAAAGTCACTGTTGAAGAAAACATTAAATATTCACTAGAATTTACCAAACAGCTTGTAGAAGACTCTAAGGTCAAGTGAAAGGAAGTTCTGTGGTCTGATGGGACTGAATCGGAACATTTTGGCC